AACTCTTTGAACTTCTCAAGGGCATCGCTCTTCTTCTTGATAGGATAGACAGTGAGATATCACGAGTGGTCGTCAACGAACGTGATGAAGTATCGATACCCTTCGCATGTCACGGTCTGTACCTCACATACGTCTGAAAAAACACGTCCAAGAACTTCGTCAGAACGGGTAAGTGTCGACTTTGGAATGGGGGAACGTGTATGGCCTGACGCTTCACACTCTTCACAGTAGGTAGAACTTCCCTTCCCATCCCCGATCACTTCCATTCCCCTGGCCATCCCACTCCGGACCATCTTCAGAATCGACTGCATCGAGATGTGTCTGAGTCGGGCATGCCAAACATCAAGAGACACTGTCGCTGTGGTTGTTTGAGCAACCAGTGCGGCTTCGACATTCCCGTCCTCAACATCTCTGCTGATGTACGCACAATCTAAACCGGTTACGATACAAGGTAGCCTATAAAGGCCACCAGAAGTCTTGGCAATGCCGAGTACTTCGTCGTTTGGATTGAGGATCCGGCAACTGTGGACGGAGAAATGAACTTGTACCCCAACTGAGGTCAAGCGTGCCACGGAGAGAAGGTTAGTGCCGATTTTCGGACAATAAAGAATGTTAGTGATGATGACGCAACAATCTTCGGTCCCATTGTGGAGGATGACTTCGATCTGGCCCTGACCAGTGGCAAAAAGTGCACATTTGTCACCGAGGTAGACAGGACGAGGAGGATGTAAAGGTGAGTATGAAGAGAACCAATTGCGATTAGTGCAGATATGTGATGACGCTCCAGAGTCTATAACCCATTCAGTCATCCATGCACGATCGCTCCCTGCAACCGCCACCTGTTCTTCTACCAGAAAAAGGTCGATCTTGGCGTCCTTCTTCTTATCTTTCACAGCTTGTTTGTCACTCGACTTCGCTGGCCGTTGGCCTTCAGATCCACCACCTTCCGCCCAACACTGTTCGAAGGTGTGTCCCAACCTCCATTTACAGTTAGTGTTTGTACAACGTGGGTGATCTTTAGTGTTTTTAGATTTCTTCCCATCCAACTTATCTGACTCTTTGCTAGCAACCTTTCCAGATTTGGCAATTAGAGCGGTAGACGACCTAGGTTTGGATTTCTGTTTCTCTTCTCGGAGAATCTGAGTGATGAGTTTGTCACAGGCAATCGTGGATGCGTCGTCGAGATCCGCCAACGTTATCATTTTAAGGGTATCATACGACTCTGGTAGTGCTTCAGACACTATCATAGCAAACTTGGCGTCAGTATAAGTATCGCCAAGACTAGCCAGTCGGTCACGAAGTCCCCGCATCTCGATCAGCTGAGGCTCAAGAGGTTTGGAATCGTCTAGTTGGTAATGATGAAGTTGAGTCATCACTCTAGCTGCATCTTGTGCACCGACTCCATTGTAACGTTTCAACAGGGCAACCCAGGCTTCTTTAGCGGAGTCTTTCCCTTCAATCATAGATAGAGGGGTGTCTTCAATGGTGAGTGCAATCTGGGTGAGAGCGTTGCTGTTTTTCTTATCCCATTCAACAACAGCAGGATCAGGGGAAGTAGCAGCCACTTTGCCAGAAGAGCTAGAGGATGATGAGGAGGAGGAAGATGAGGAAGGTTTGTCGGAGGTTTTGGAACTGGGATCAACAAATTCCCAGAGTGCTCTGTTGACGAGAATCATGCGGCAGCGAATAGACCACATTCGATAGTTACGACCATTGTTCTTTAATTTCTCGATGTTGTAAATATTCTTAGAACTATCGTTTGAGGTGGCCATGGCTGGGATCACAACCTAATGAAATAGGAGCTATCACACGTAACTCAGTCTCGAAATGGAGAACTAGTATTAAGATTTTTACCTATCACACGTAACTATAACATGAAAGTACAATGAGTTATGCGCAAACACAGATAGAAGAAATGGTATCACCTCAGTCTCGAAATGGAGAACTGAGGGAGGGAGAAAAATTACGGTGTCCAGCATAACTTATACGACTGGAGCCAATATCGCTTAAAGCGATTGCCAGTGACAACTGGCGATATAAGACAAAGTAAATTGGGAGCGCGTGGTACCGCGACTCTGAAACAAAAAGGTATAGTCGTTGTTAGTCACGACGATATTAAGTTAAAATAAAAACTCCCCAATCCATGCTGCAGCTCGGCTGTTGTTGATGAGCGTTGATATTCCAACAATGCCCTACCCTTGGGCCTTGTTTGCGGCATCACGGCCATCGCGGCCTATAGTGGCCCACAATGGCGACCTTCGGTGCCGACCCCGGACCAGTGTCTAACAGGCTGTTGGAGGAATCACACAGAATTGATCACACCAACTCAATTGTATTATACACATGATGTCACAGAAGAGTCAAACACGTAAGCACAAGTGGCACAAACTACGTAATTTCACTAGGTGGAGAGTGACACTGCTGTGTGGGTAATGTGTTGTGGCAATTTCCGTAACCCAAAAGAACATCACGCAAGCATTCAGTTCTGACTTGCATTGCAGCCGTGTATGGTTACGTAGAGTATTGGGATATTAGCGGTTTACGCTAGCGTGTTACGCTCAGTCAATCGTAGTTGAACTGAGGGAGACGAAAGGGAAAATTGTTCACTGCTTTTATAAGCAGTCCACAGTGGGAAGTAAATCGCGGTAAAAAACATTGGGAAACCCAGGTGAAAATCACAGTATTTTACGGTGGGGCACCCTGGTATTATGCCCGGGGTTCCAGGTAAAATACTTGGAATACATGTGCCGTTTAAAACCTGGATTCCCCTTAGTAAAACTTGCCGAATACCGGGGTTCCCCTACACCAGACCAACGGCCGCCATGCGGAGAGGAACACGACCCCAGGAACCCGGACAGCCGGGTAGACGAGAGACCACAAAAGCACAGAACGAAGCAATGGTGAAGGAGAGGAAGAGACGGGTGAGACGAACACAATAAATTATTTCCTTATTTTCTATTTCTTTTATCAACACCTCGACAATACCCACCGACACCACATAACCCGAAGATCACTGACACCAGATGATACCAACCAGACTACCCACACATCATGTATAGAAAGTCCCCTTCATGTACGCTACGGTGTATCGACGGGACAGCCGCACTGCCACGACATCACGAGGCCGCGGGGTATTAAGATAGATTTATCATCACCGGGGTTCCCTAACACGATTTGTTGAAGATTTACCTGTGGCCCCAAGGTATCATACCAAGGGTTTTCCAGGTGTGTTACTCTCCGTGTAATTTACAGTGGAATACCCAAGTTCTGACTCATGTTTTTTTACCGTGCGCGCGGCATTATTGTACCACGGTATCATACTATGCTTTTCCGTAGTTTCTTACTTTGGACACCATTGTATTCAGGATGATAGGAACATATTTTACTGACTTATGTTAATACAAGAAGGCTATACAGCATGGTGCGAACGGAGAAAGCGAATTGGATGGTGCAAACGGGAAGAATATGACATGATGCACCGTGATTCCCACCAAAGTGAACGTGCGAGAAGCGAGCAAGAGCAGTGCCTGTATGATAAGAAGCATGAGACGAGTGCTGAAAAGATTGTGGTATCGCACCAGAATGGATAACTCAGAGAACGTAGAATATAGTACCTGTCTATCGATCGCGCGACGATCCACCACCCGATGGGGAAAATTCTGGTGGCCTGTCTCTCAGATAACCCTGAAGCATAGTATAGCACATGTGGCGGCTCGGGGAGTGCAGCCGATCGCAAAGTGAAAGAGAAGCGAAGGTGACTTTAGGATCGGGAATCTTAGAGTCTGGTCATATGGACACACCCACTCACATAGGGTATCACTCATGTCCCCATTCGATGGGCCTTGCAGACGCGTCAAGGGTACAGTGCAGTAGGATACGCTGCCGCGCGTGATGTGGTGGGAGAAAAGCTAAGTCCTAAGTCTCCACTCGAGACAAACAAAAATAAATGAGAGTCGCCAGTCAATAAACAACCCCTTCCTATTCCAATAAAAGCTGGTCGCCTGCCTAACCCCCTCCCCATCCATAGACCTCATTAACATCTCCTTGCGGTTGTAATATGTGGGATTCTAGCTCAGAATCTCCCTATCTGGTTGTGCTATCCATTTGAGGGCCGAGCGGCAAAATTGTCGATCTTAATGCTGCCATTAGGAGATGGGGCATCCAGCAACGTTAGGCTATAGTACTATTCAGTAATCAAAGCATGTATTACAACAACACCGTCTTCGTATTCGACTGCAGCATATCACGATCCGTACTTAATAAGAACCATGGTTTCCCAAAGTAAAGCACCGACCGTGCGGAATCTGAGCGCAACAACCCAGGTATTTTTCCAACCAGGTCTTTCCCATGGGTCAAATTGCCATAGGTAAAATACCGCGTTTTTGTAAAATACTCGGGTTGCGGGGTGTTTTTTACCGCGATTTACTTCCCACTGTGAGTCGCCTCAATGGCGCACTGACTTTGGTAGCAGGAATACCAAGAAAGGAAATACAGCGCCGCAAGCTCAACATCACACTGTGAGTTGGCCACAGCGCACTATAACTCCCAAGAAAAACCAAGATTTTCAACATAGAGTCTAAGCCAATATGTAGAAAGTGTTCTGAACGCGGCAGTTCTGCGTTTGGCAAACTTTTCAATTATGTATTGATCTAGACCCTTCGTAACTGCATGCATTAAGCGCCCGCATTCAGGGCTTTGTGGGCCGGTGATGGCGCAAACCCCGAAGTGAATTATAATACAACAGGGCGGCTACCCCTAACAGATGAAATTGACTGTTCGTATTTCCACAAATGGTCGACGTGTTATGCGTCATTAGTTGAGTTACATTTGACGTCCCATCGTACATAACACCGCTCACCGTGCTCTCTTGCCGCTCATCATCATCGTTTCCATCACGTTGAGGCCTGATCGTCTGAATTGCCCCCCTTCCGCCGCAAGCGATTACAGTGCCACGGCATGTATTGATACACATCACTCGTCATGATCCTCAATCACTAATGCCTCTAATGAGTGATTCTTGTAGTTCTGCCTAGTTTCATAGCCTATGGGGAAGTAAATCTTTGGGGACCGAGTAAGTGTCATTCGTATTAATGTGCTTGAAATGCCTCAAATCGAAGATTCTGCGTTAATGCCCTTGTCAGAGTAAATGTGGGGTCGAAGTTAAATGGACGAGGGAAGCTCATGGATGTTCGGGCTTCTCCACTCCACATTGGACCGCTCCGTCTGCGACACGTGAATCATTATCAGCGACTCCGGCTCCGGCGTGGCTGCGGGACACTGTCTATGATTCAACTGTTTACTAGTGGAGCATCGCACCTCCGCTTGCATCCCTCTGCTCCGTGTTGGCCTTCGCCTTATAGATCCCCGTTCGCCGCAACTGGCATCATCTCCTGTCTCGGTGTTATGGAACAGGTATCATGGGGCGGTTGCTACACTGTTCAGGCTTGAATTCGGTCGCGGGCTTGCGCATCTCACTCGCGCCGCACTGCCTCTCTCTCTGCATTTATTGCTGCGTTCGGAGCAGGCCATTGGCAGTGCCCAAATCAAGCTTTGAAACTAAACCCCTCCAATCATTTCTAGCTACATACATATATATATATACCCCTATATGTTGGATGCCCCTCAATCTTCCTGCCTTACCTTGGTTGTCCACTGCGAACGACGCATCTCGCATAACAGGCCGACGAGCGGTAATTGGGCCCTGCAACTCCACAACTCAATTTGTCTCCACGTCACCTACAATGATTGCTCACAGTGCAACTTCCACAATTAAGGGGTCTTCATCGTTCGACCGCTTTCATCATCACTCGCCCCAACCCGTAGAGATTAGAACCGAGACACTAAATCACTCGGCGTACTACTCTAATCATCCATCGCTGCAGTCAGCCGACGATCACTTGTGTTCGGGAGACCAAGATGCGGACCCACGAGGCAATCCATCCATGTATGGAAGGGTCAAAAGGGGGGGCTCCCCATTCGTATTTGAATCACAACCCGATGTCCAGCTCGCCCTGCATGAGTCGCTGAGCCGATCACAAGGTGGGGAGCCGTGGCGCCATTCGCAGCACTGCCAACCCGCTGTCGCGCCATCCTCCGATCAGCGAACATCATCCGATTCCCGAGAAGAATATTACCTCTCTGTTACAGAGATGCTTGGGGAGTGGGTCGAGGAGAAGGGAGTTTTGGGGATGGCGTTGGAGGTTTCGCTCCTTGGGCTATGTCTGCAATATTTTGTGAGGGAATGATGGATAACTGGGATGATGGTAAAATGATTATCTCAAGATTGTAGGGAACATTTGTATTTCATACGCTGCCGCACTACATTTCTACATTTAGTATTTTTGATAATGTTTGTGATGCTAGCTACCATGATGGATATAATTCTACTAGGCCGAGTAGCATTGGGCTGCCGGTTTTACTTTGTGCGTTTATCACAAGGTCTGATGTGGGTGATCTTGAAGATGTCTGGAGAGTTTCAACTTTCCTTAAACGCAAAGCCCGAACACGATGAAGAATCTGGACATTTTCAACACTATCAGACATCAATCAAACGGTACCAGCCGAATCCCTTCACGCATTGGAATGCCCCGCAATGTGTTCGGATTTTTCTGCTTTTCAGCCTCCGCGGCAGCAAGGGCGCTCGGAACAGGGATACCACAACAATCGCCCCAGCCAGACTCGAGTTGACCTGCTCCTGGTCCGTCATTATTGTATTGAGTGGAAGGGTTCAGGTGGATGACTTTCCCGTTTGGTAAAACACGATCGCCATTCGTGTGGTTGTGAACGTGGGGGTGGGCGTGACCAGTGTGAGGATCGTCCAATGTCTCATCCTCTTTGTCCTCTGGATCCAATGGCTGGAAGGAGAGGATGGAACCGAAGAGGAAATGCTGCATGACAGGAAGTTTGTTCAGAACCTCAGCCTTGTACATTTTGATCATTCCTGTGTTGACTTTCTCCCATGTCTTGACCTACGGGGGGTCAGCTGAGCCTCGAACGAACGCAACGGAGATCATACCGCCGAGATATCATCCAACATGGGTGAATGCCACCTCAGAGTTGCTGATTTTATCTGAGGTTTATTTGCATGTGAATAAGTAACGGTAGCTTCATGCAACACAAATAGCAAATGGCGACTCACGGAATTGATGAACTTGATACACGCCAAGTACATATAATCCCTTGAGAATTCTTCAACGATGTCCGTGTCGTGAATGGATTTTGGTTTGATGTATCTGTGATCTGGCAGAGGGGAATTTAGGTCTTATAAGGACGCATGTAGATGGGGCTCACTTCTCAGCTGGGCAGATCCCCACAAGAAAGGCAGAAAATGATAATCGTCCAAACCCCATACTCCATGTGAGCCTGCAGGCTCTAGCCAGTATGACTGCTGTAGGATGCGCATTACCGCGATGTAACGCCAAAAGACGCGGATCACCAAAGCTGTGTGGTCGGACTCTTGTACAACCTTCAGCTCTTCCAAGCACAATCTGACGGGATATGGTTAGACAAAAGAATACACAAATTGTTTTTGGTTCCACACTGACTCACATCCAGCAGAGGAAGTTTAATTCCATACCGCTCCCGTAGTCAATTCGAGAGCGATTTCCCCAAGATTCTCGGAAATATACCGAGAGTTCATCGATGGCTTCGGATGGTATGTCTGGGAGCTGTTCGTGTAACGAAGAGGAGGCCTACACAATGACCCACATAGTCAGGATCGAATCGGACTGATAGATCGGGAAATGGGTACACGCCGACGACACTTTGTCATAGAAGTCCTTGAAAGCAGGGTTTCCAAAACGGGAGGCAGCATTATTGACAGGCGGGGTGCTTTTTGCTATCTCCTCCACTTGGTCGAGTATTGAAAGAACAGCTTTTATCCCCTGTCGATTATCAGCAATGGATTGCAGTCACAAGGAAGAGCATCCCAACCTCAGATTCGGAACAATCATCCCTGGTCTTCACACCAATAACTGAATCGTTGAGGGTCTCGATGTACTTCACCACTTTCTCATATGTTTCCGAGTCTTGGAATTGTGCGAGGTGACTGGGGCTGAGAATCGCTTTTAGTGGCTGGCTGAAGCTGTCCATTTTACGCAACCACCTGAAACTCTCGGCTCGTGCCGTGGCCTCGACTTCGTCAATTCGAGACGACGTAAAAGTTTGCTTAGACAATCCAAACCACCTCTAAGCTCTTGACGTCCTCAGATTGGCCAGACGTTTCCTGGGACAGGCCAGAACGCGTGCTGTAGCCTGACTAGAAACTAGTCACTCACTTTCCCCGTCGCCCCCCAACACTTCCACAACGAAATGGCCACTACGCGTACAGCAGATGCCAGGGCGTCTGAAGACGACCTGGCTACCCTCCCCTCCATCTCGGATGATACCATTGTGTCTCGTCTTCGAGACCGTTTTCTTAACGACATCATCTACACTTCCGTAGGGTCCTCTACCTTAGTTGCCCTGAACCCCCACAAATATGTAGGCAGCAATGCCGACTCAGTTTTGCTACAATATGCAACCGAGTACAGAGACACCAGCGGGGAGAAGGAATATCGGTCTCCTCATATCTTCCAATTGGCAAACAATGCATATTATCATATGCGACGGACAGGCCAGGATCAGAGTTTATTGTTTAGGTGCGAGCATTGATTCGGTTCATGTACGTTGGGTTATCAATCCTTATGTACCTTTATTGTTAAAGTGGCGAGACTGGGGCTGGCAAGTCGGAAAGTCGCCGTCTTGCAATCAAAAGCGTTATTGAGCTCAGCGTCAGTAACCCTGGAAAGAAGGGCTCCAAGTTGGCGAGCCAGATCCCCAGTGCCGACTTCATTTTAGAATCATTTGGGAATGCTCGTACTCTGTTCAATCCCAATGCATCGCGTTTCGGCAGGTATACCGAGTTGCAATTCTCGGATCGTGGACGGCTTTATGGTGCTAAGACATTGGATTACTACCTGGAGAAGAGTCGTGTAGCGGGGGCGCCTTCTGGAGAACGCAACTTTCATATCTTCTACTACCTCCTTACGGGTGCCACTAACGAGGAGCGACAGCACTTACATCTGAGCGACAAGGTAGTGTACCGCTACCTCACCCATGGCGGCGGGAATCCGTTCCAAGAGGACGATGGTCACAAATTTGAGCGATTAAAACATGCGTTGAAAAGTGTTGGGTTTTCAAAGCGCAGTGTCGCTCAGACTTGCCAACTCATTGCTGCCATCATCCACCTCGGCAATATCGAGTTCACGCGGGACCGAAATCGCAACGAGGATGCTGCCGTAGTTCGCAACACTGATGTTCTCAATATCGTTGCCGAATTTCTGGGAGTCTCTGCTGCATCGCTGGAGTCTGTCTTGTCGTACAAGACTAAACTTGTCAAAAAGGAGTTGTGTACGATCTTCCTAGACCCCGAAGGAGCCTCCGATAATCGTGACGACCTCGCTAAAAATTTATACTCGCTTCTCTTTTCCTGGCTAAATGAATTTATCAATCAGAAACTGTGCAGGGACGATTATACCACATTTGTTGGTTTCCTCGACTTCCCGGGATTCCAGAATATCACTTCCTCGCCTAGTCGATCCAACTCTCTCGATCAGTTCTGCATAAACTATGCCAATGAACGTCTGCACCAGTGGGTACGCCGGCAAATATTCGATCGACACGCAGACGAGTTTGTGTCCGAAGGTCTTTCTGGCGTTTTCCCTACAGTTCCTTACTTCGACAATTCTGAATGCGTTCGAATGTTGTCGACCATGCCTGGAGGCATCATCCATATCATGGATGACCAGGTCAGGCGCATGCCGAAGAAAACCGATCACACCATGATCGAAGCAATGTCTAAGCGCTGGGGCAATCACACCTCGTTCAGATTGGGAGGAATGGATCATTCGGGTTTCCCGACGTTCACTGTTAGCCATTATGCTGGTCCAGTTACTTACTCAGCCGAATCCTTCCTCGAGAAGAATGCCGCGGCATTCAATCCCGATTTCGTATCACTCCTTAGACGCAGTTCCGAAGGCGGTCGTACCATGGGCGGCGAGAGCTCAGGCTCTTCCAATCATTTCATTCAAGCTCTTTTCTCCTCAAAATCCATTGCGACTGAAGCACACCCTCGCCATGATGAGACGATCGTGGCCGCACATCAGCCAGTCAAGCCCATGCGGGCCCCGTCCATGAAGAAGAGGGGTACTGTGAAACGCAGACCTGCAGGTGAAGCGCCAAAGCCCGAGGTGACAATTGAAGAGGAGGCAGATGAAGGTCCTGCTGATACCGAGGGCATCAAGTGCGTCGCTGGGGAGTTCAAAACTGCGCTAGATGTGCTTTTCGAAACTCTTGACGAGACAAATCCCTGGTCCGTGATGTGCATCAACCCGAATGATGCACAACTACCAAACCAGCTTGAAACTCGTGGGGTTAAGGCTCAGATTCGCAGCGCTGGCTTGTCAGAGGTCTCCCGGAAAAATGGAATTGTCATCGAGGCTAGCATGACCCCCACCGAGTTCTGTGATCGCTATCGTGACCAGCTTAGAGAAGTTGGACTGTCGCCTGAAGATGATCCCGTGGGCAACGTCCGCGCCGTCCGTGAAGCTCTCGGGTTATCCGATCGAGACGTGGTTATGGGAAATCATAAGGTGTGTCGGACTTGATTATTGGCGTCTTCGAGACTCAGCTATGGTTTTCAGGTTTTCTTAAGTCAAGTCGCGTTCCACAAGATGGAAGACTACTTGAGGGCTAATGATGCGGAGGAGCAAAAACGAAATCGGCTGAGGGTGGCAGAAGCCCAGGCGGGTCTCCTTGACGTTCGAACGGATGAATATGGACCATATGGGCATGGACCTGATGGGGAGGATGGAGACAGATCACCGGTAACGGGGTACAATGACCCATTTGGCAACTCCAGTCAGGTTCTGCCTCTCGTTTCCAATGCTCAGGGTCAACCCTTTGTTGGTCGCGCGCTCTATGGAGATGATGATGACGGACGCTCACTGCAAAGTGACGATTTTGATCAGCACAGCCGTATCACAAGTGGACAGGAAGATGCAAGCAATTACGGGAGTGAATCCTATGCACCTTCAAGAAATATGTTCCAGAACACTCGGAAGGTTCAAGCAGAAAAGGACCCGTTGCCCGGCGATATTCTTCAGAATGAAGTTGCAGAGGAAGTTCATGACTCGTCCGCTCGCCGCCGTTGGCTTGCCCTTGTTTGGCTGCTGACATGGTGGCTTCCCACACCCCTCCTCACGTACATTGGCCGTATGAAGCGTATGGATATTCGACAAGCGTGGCGCGAAAAGCTGGCAATCAACATCCTCATTTGGTTTGTTTGTGCCAGCGCGATTTTCGTCATCGCTATCCTTGGATATATTATCTGTCCGCACGAATACGTGTTCAGCCCGGCAGAGCTCAAATCTCACTCCTACAACAACGATCCCAAACACACGTATACTGCGATCCGCGGGGAGGTTTTCGACTTGACAGGCATCATGCAAACCCATGTGACCACAGTCAGTGTCATACCTCAAAAGACGGTCATGAAATACGGTGGTCTTGATGCTACCTCTCTATTCCCTGTTCAAGTAGGTTCCTAATGTTGGACCTCTTCCATTGTCGTACGACTGACACGAATATGAAGGTCAGCGCCCTCTGTGAAGGTGTGAATGGCCCAGTCAACCCTTACGTTCTCCTGAGCTCGACAAACCAATCGGTGAATGTCGAAGCTCAGTACCACGACTTCAGAGCGTTTAATCAATATGACTATCGACCTGATTGGTATTTCGAAATGATGATCCTCATGCGTTATAACTGGCGTGTAGGGTTCGTTGGTTACACTGCCTCTGCCATTCGATCTTTGGCCAGCAAAGGTCGCGCCGTCGCTGTGTACAATGGCATGGTTTATGACTTGTCGGATTATATTAACTTCCCGCCGGTGGTTCACGCACCTGATGGAACACAAGTCCAGGATCCAAACTCAATCAAGACGCTCTTCATGGAATCTACTGTCGTCGATCTGTTCCGCTACAACAACGGCCAGGATATCACGAACAAACTCAATAATCTACAGATTGACTCCGATACCTTCGCTCGCATGCAGACTTGTCTCCGTAATTTGTTCCTGATCGGCAAGGTCGATAATCGTAACTCTCCCCAATGTTTATTCTCCACATATATCTTGTTGGCTTTATCAGCGGTGATGGTTGCAGTAATTGGGTTCAAGTTCATCGCTTCTATCACATTCGCCTCGCCGCGTAGACCCGAAGACCATGACAAGTTTGTCATCTGCCAAGTGCCTGTCTATACGGAAGATGAGGATTCCGTTCGCCGAACTATCGATTCGCTGGCGAAACTGAGATACGACGACAAACGCAAGTTGCTCTTCATCATTTGCGACGGTAACATTGTCGGTTCCGGAAACGATCGTCCTACTCCTCGGATTGTTTTGGACGTACTGGGAGCAGACCCAAACTTGGACCCCGAACCCCTTAGCTTTTTGTCGTTGGGAGAAGGAGCAAAGCAGCATAATATGGGCAAGGTGTATTCTGGTCTTTACGAGTGTTCTGGTCATGTGGTGCCCTATGTGGTCCTTGTCAAGGTCGGGAAACCAACGGAAAGGTCCCGCCCCGGCAACAGAGGAAAACGAGACTCGCAGATGGTGTTAATGCATTTCTTGAATAAGGCCAGTCCTGCAACCCACTTATTTCCACGAGTGTTGATCTGGACTCATTGTCCAACCACAGGTTCACTTCAATTCAGCCATGAATCCTTGCGAACTTGAAATGTATCATCAGATCAAAAATGTCATCGGAGTGAATCCCTCCTTCTATGAGTACATCTTCATGGTGGATGCCGATACGACTGTAGAGCCCCTCGCTCTAAACCGGCTCGTTTCGGCGTAAGTAGACATTGGCATTGCAGCATGGACATTTCTCACTGCGGTTATGTAGCATGATTCACGACAAGAAGGTACTTGGTGTATGTGGCGAGACATCCCTCTCAAACGAGAAGCGGTCTGTTGTCACTATGATGCAGGTAAGTAGTTGTGCTTTTGTCGGTTGCAAAAATCCTCAATCTTCTGCTATAGGTGTACGAATATTTCATATCCCATCATCTGGCGAAGTCGTTCGAGTCCCTTTTCGGATCGGTGACTTGCTTGCCTGGGTGTTTCACTATGTACCGTCTTCGCACGCCAGACACACACAAACCACTCTTCATCTCCAATGCCGTCATCGAGGATTACTCAGAAAACCGAGTTGACACTTTGCACATGAAGAACCTGCTTCATCTTGGAGAAGACCGATACCTCACAACGTTGTTGCTGAAGCATTTTCCCAATTACAAAACTCAATTTGTCAGAGACGCCCATGCCTATACTATCGCTCCTGAGGAGTGGAAGATCTTATTATCGCAGCGTCGCCGTTGGATCAATTCTACGGTACACAATCTTGCCGAACTGGTTTTCTTGGATCAACTTTGTGGTTTCTGTTGCTTTTCCATGAGATTCATTGTCTTTATTGATCTCCTGTCAACCATCATTCAGCCTGTTACAGTCGCTTACGTGAGTGTCCCCGCGTCTCTCCGGTCTATATGGCGCATTATTCATCCCGACTTGTTCAGATCGTTTATTTGATATACCTGGTGGTTGGGAAACATGAGTCGGTGCCTCTGTTTTCCATCATCATGCTAGCTGCTATATATGGCCTTCAAGCGCTTGTCTTCATCTTCCGTCGTAAATGGGATATGATTGGCTGGATGCTATTTTATATTCTTGCTATTCCTGTCTTCTCATTCTACCTCCCACTCTATGCATTTTGGCGCATGGACGACTTCTCATGGGGTCAGACCCGTATTGTTATGGGTGAAAAGGGTAAGAAGTTGGTGATCCACGTAAGTTCCGATGTCTCGTTCTTTGGTTGTCCAGTGACCCACAGCGTTTCCAGGACGAAGGGAAATTCGATCCCCGTTCTATTCCACTGAAGTCATGGACAGACTACGTGAGCTCCTTATTGTTTACATTTTGCGTATCTAGCTGATTACCATGTCCCGGCAGGAAAATGAGTTATGGGACAAAGAGTCCAATCACAGTGTAGGATCATGGGTGCCGCCAACCAAGGGCAAGGATGGATATCATACTCCTACGGCATCAATATACGGTCGTCAGACTGTTTATGACGCACATGAAGTCCCATACTCCCGCTCTTACTCTCCTGCACCTTCTTATAATGGACGTCAACCGTCGACATACGGATTCCCCCAGGCCCACGCTGATACTTTGGGGCGACAGTCCATGGCTGGCGTCCAGTCGCGCCCCACAACATCGTACTTACCTGACATTGGTGGTGGTGGCTTTAGCGGCGACTTCTTAGGATCGCCTAGCGGACAACCATCCGACGCAGAACTAGAGCGTGCAGTACAGGAGATCCTGCGCGATGCTGATCTCAACGTCAGCACTAAGCGTGCAATTCGTTCCCGCCTGGAGGAGTCATTTGGGATAGATTTGACGGCTCGGAAGACGACCATCAACGCAGCTATAGATCGCATCCTACTTACACAAGCACAGTGATACTTTCAACGACTGTGACTAAGCAGTATTTGACCCCTTCATGCATGGACGATATGGCTTACATTCTCACTCGGACACTTTGTATCAAATTTACAAGTCCTGATAATCCAATATTTAATCTCTCTCTCCTTCAAGTTGCCCCCTGGGACTGAAAATTAGCGGGGTCCTTCGCTAAACCCCCTCTTCAGTGGCAAAAACTGCCACCGGGGCCGCGAGAGTTCACACGCCATAAATTGTTTCTAAAATGCTGAAGGCAAGTTTGTATCAACCCTGAACATCTGGGTAGTGCCCCCTTGGTTTTCTGGATGACTAGCGATGGTCGCGCTCAGTTCTGACAGCGTAGAAGAAAGAACAGGAACGCGACAACGGAATTCTCATCGCCTTCAGCTTTATCTAAGAGAAGTTGAGCGCTTGACCGAAAAAGGAACGTAGCGCTTATCAATTAAAGGGCTCCCAACTGAGATGCCGATTCCCATGTTGCAAAATGCCCGAAGGCGCGTAGTTAACATTGGTAGATTTCTTTGGCTTTGTTATCGAGCCGAATGATTTGGGTAGCGTGGCTAACGTCCCGGCGCTCTGCCCACAAGGGGCATTTTGTATTCGCTGTCCTGCTTTGGTAGAGGCTAGGACACTGCCTTATTTGTCGTGGGTTGAGCAGCGTGCCTGTCTCATCTGTTCGGCACCCCCTCAGCGATTGCTAACGCACGATGTCTGGCCGATCTGGGCTCTCTCGGTTTTTCGAGAGACGGAAGCGTCCCGGCGGTCCTTTGCAACCCTCGACTGCCGCTCCCACCATCCAGATCACTTCTTCCCCCACTGCAAACGATGCAACTACTAGCAGAGATCGTGATGGATCTGAGGGATCTCATCTTCAGCCTCCTAGTGGTACTGCATCAACTGGTGGCAGTTCTCAAGATCTAGAGCAGCGGAGGTCTTTTCGGCACGCTATATCTAAGATGTTCAGAAGGAGTCTGAGTCCCAATCCTAACCGTCGCACCGGCCAATCGGCCTCCCATCCCAGACGATCTGTCCCCTCTACACCGGATCCGCCATCCCCTAATCCATCACCATCTCCAGTCCCCCCTGAGGGGACCATCGATATCACAATACCCAGCGGGCGCAGCATCCATGGCAACACTGAGACTCCCCACCCACAACCACAACGCACAGGCGTGAACTTAGATACGCCAATAGATCTAATGCCGTCGTCTTCAGCCGTCCCTGCTGGTGAACGAAAGAAAACAATCATCGCCGCCACAAGGCTCGTCCTCCAAACCGCCGCCTCTGCTCTTAAGTTAGCCCCCATTCCGAATCTCGATCAAATACCAAATATACTCCTATCATGGCTCCAAGCTTACGAGGTTCGCAGGGCGTCGCGATTTTGCGATCTAATGATATAACCTCACGTTTTCATGCAGACCTCGACAACAATGACGAAAATCTCAAAGGATTGGACGATGAAGTTCGAAATGCTCACGAAACGATCTTTAGGCCTCTCCAGCTGTGGACTGGCCGAGTCCCTCCTGAAATCCGTGAGCTAATTCAACAATTTAACTTGTAGTGCATTCACTCTATCGCTCTCTCGTCCAAATCTCACATCCCGGTAACAGGGCCCTAAAAAGCAATTGGGGCAAATCGAAGCACTCAAACGCGAAAGCTTGCCAAGAGGGTAATCCTAGCGACTGAGATATCTCAGGAGATAAGCGCGGTGAAGTCCTGTATCAGTGATGCTGTCTCCCGTTTCACGGTTTGTTTCCTCAGTGTTCAGATAGTCCGTTAACTGACTTGGGCATGCACCATAGACTGCGGCGACAACTCTGAATCTCTTCCACACAATTCGGTTATCGGTGGACTGTTCGTTGCATTCCCTTGTTTTTCGCTGCTTAGAATTCAATGATATTCCAGATGAACTCTCGAAACTCTACAAAGCGAACGCGGAATACTCTGCTGTGGAAAGCAAGTCGGAATGCCTGAAAAACACTCGGGTCCGGATTCAGGAATTGATACTCGATCACTTGGAGAAACGGGAGCACCGATTTGTTTGGCTTCGTGGCTCCCCCGGCACTGGAAAGACTGCTATATCAAAGAGTGTTGCCTCAACACTTGCCAAACGGCGCCGCTTGGCAGCGTCTTTCTTCTGGGACAAAAACCAAGTGGGAACAGGAGTCGATTCGATTAAGCACTTTCCCTCTACTCTTGCACGCCAGCTCGCGTTGTTTAACACCGAGTACGAGAGTCTTCTTGTCAATCAGCTTCGACAGCCCTCTTCACTGGAGGATATTCTAGGCTCCACTCTGGAAAAGCAGATGAGAGCTTGGATCGTCGAACCCATGCTTAAACTTCTATCTCTGGGCGAGGAGCGCTTCATCATCGTCTTGGATGGACTAGACGAGTGTGGGGCTCAGGAAGAACTTGAGTCTTTAATGAAGCTAGTGTTTATCCTCGATGAACTGCCGGCCGCATTTGCTGTGTTTGTCAGCTGTCGTCCAGAGTCATCGGTCATGTCGGCTTGGAATGAGGCCCAGGCTCAGGGCTTTGTCATACCATATGAAGATGTGGACGCTATCGCGAAGGGTGAGAGGTTCCACACTATCCGCCGCATGGTCGAGGAAGGCCTTCAGGGTTGCATCAAGAAGTCTGCCTGGAAGCCGTCAAAAGAGGATATCGATGCATTTGCCTCGGCCTGTCGTGGGTTGCCGATTATTGCCTCAACCCGAGTCCGGGATGTTTCTGTTCGAACTCGTCGTGGTGCAACCCTTCGATCGGAGTTCGAATACTTGCGTGACCTCACCGATGCTCCCACTGACGTCAACTCAGAGTACTTGCGCATACTTCGCCGTGCCTATATGTTGGACTCATCTGGAGTTCCTCCACATATAGCTGAGAAGTATCGCCAAGTGGTTGGCACAATCATTGCAGCACGCGAGCCGCTAAGTGCATTTTCTATGTCACAGCTGTTAGGAATTGCCGAGGAAGATGTCCTCGCTATTTTGGAACCGATTAGGTCAATTGTAAATCTCTCTTCAAAAAGTGGCTCGGAAAGTGGCTCAGAAAGTGGCTCAGACAGTGGCTCAGAAAGTCCCTCGAAGGACATGAAGGGTGTCAAATTCTATCATGCAACAATGAAAGAGTTCATAATGGGGGATTCGATTGGTAATGAAAATGACAAAGCATTCTTTATCAAGGATGCAAATCAGTATTTCATCGGACTGCCACTCCTCCGATTTTTCAATAATAGTTGCGAGCATCGTGTGTTTGGGGAGCCCGCCACTCTCCCTTTAGGAGATAAACGAAAATGGAGCGATTTTCTGAAGAGAGAACGCCCCCATCATCTCCAATATACTCGTAAATACTTGTTAGAACACTTAGACCCCTCACAACTCTTTGCACAAGGGTCCAATTTGCAGAACGAGTTTAATACATTCCTCACGCGAAACTTGGTTACATTTATGCACCTGGCGCAAAACTTCGAAAGGGACGAGGGATTCCCTGATGGATTTGATGAATTCAAGGTAAATAAAATCATTGTGCCGCGATCATTTCAATATGATGTCATTTTTAACAGGATCACGATTCATTCAAACTTTTGAGAGAAGCTCGAGAAAAGCAATCAGTGGAGTATTCGTCTTGGGCGTCATGGTTTATTTCTACGACTTCCTGGTCACCATGGCACCTCCATCGATCGACCCTTCCTTTCACCCCAATGTCATCACCTTTTCACAAACTGTATGGCCACCTCTCCGATCCCGTCCGGATCTTCACCATTTCCAGCGAGTTTACCGGGCACAGAATCCCATTGAGTGAGGATTTACTCAATGTTCGAATGGTCATGGAGGCGAAGCTACCTAATATGCCAGAGAAGGTTGATAGTCAGGGTACTGTTGAGGTTGATTATGATGCCCAATTTAACGACCCTGATGTTCGTAACGGTATCGTGACATGTGCGGCGCTCTCCCTTGATGGTCACCATGTAGCTCTTGGTTTTGGTAGCGGTGTTATCGAACTCGCTGATATCGACCATCAGCACACAATTTCCCGATTCCAGCTCGATCCACCCAACCATCCAGTCTGGATCGAATTCGTCCACGGCAGCCACCGAGTCGCTGCCGAGGACAATGAGGGGAATGTCACCATCCTTAGCCACGATATGACCCCCGTTAATCTTGGTACTCTTCCCAATGGTCCTCTTCCCGCTGTAACTCGAGTATCAGATAACGGTTTATTTATCATACGGGTTCCACGGAACACTGATAACCCTTGGTACGACAGCATGACTCTCGTATCCATTTTGGGTGACCCGCACTTGCAGCACCTCGCACCCCCTTCTTCCAATAATTTCACCCCAACTTCCAACCCTCCTATCTTAGCCTCCGAGCCTTCTACTTCATCCTCTGCATCCATCAAAAGTGACGCAGTGCTCACTATTCCGCACCGTCGCACGCTTGGGTTTTCTCCGGGAGCACATTATATCGGCGCTTTCGATGGCCTCAGTGCTTTCACCTGGTCGACAAGTTCGGGCAAGCTCATTTCGAGTTATCGTGTGACGGATTTCAATTTGTGGATTATGAATCCTGTTGTTCCCCTAGCCTGCTCTCATCGCATCCCTGATCCTGTACCCCCTCAACTTACTCTTCGCCTGACAACACGTGGAGCAACAAATAGACATCATTCCAAAACAAATGCAGTGCATCACTTGGATGAGTCCTGGATCAAGTGCCCATTTTATGTTCTCTTGCAAGACAAGGAGGAGGAGTCTGATATCCGTTTATCCGCTGCAGGGAGAACCCCACTGTTCGCTTCCTATAGAGACCACGGGCTACCAGTGTTCTTCAATGGCAAATTAGAATTCATTATTCCCAAGGAGTATCGACCAGCTGTTTATTCTGGTGTCAAAGATTCAGGCGCTTGGTATGGTGATCAAGTGTCATCTGATCCTACCCGTCTGTACAGCCCTCGGTCCAGCAAAGACGGGACTCGAATTCTCTTCCAAGGCCGGCAGACAGCTCCGATTGTTGTTGATCTTAGCCAAGTCATTTAGGATGTTCGTGGTCAATGGAAATATCTTCCTACAGTATTTGCCTTGTGTGATTCTATCTACTGTCAGAGGGGAATCGCAAAGTTTCGCTAGGCCAACCTTCCAACTTTTACTTCCCTCGGACGAGGTTCCCCTTCCCTAGGGTGCAGTGAGTATAGGTAAAGCTCGGAGACTTGAACAGATCTACGACCATTCCTCCCTTGCATTGCATGTCGTTTAGTCCTGGGTCGGACAAAATGAATGTCGGTGTTGTGACCACAGAGATTCTTTTTGATTCTGCTCTTTTCATAGTTCCTCAATTCACTATCACTCCGTTAGATCAGATAATGTTATTGACCTTCTACAGGAGGCGCCGACGAAAGATTGACTGTGGAGTGCATCCTGGGAGGTGAAGAACGGTACTCAGCCTGATTGTTAAGTGTTTTATATGTGTCTTTGTGTCCAAATAGTTTTGGAGACAAATGCCGTGATCTGCACTAGCCCGTTACTCCATCGGCGGTGTGGTAGACAGTGCGGTAAGTAATATCCTCATCTCATAGCGGCATCTCTGATTTATTGAGGCGTTTTTCAATTTCAGTATGGATGTCTGCTGAACGATTACCTCTCTGGGTAAGTACGAAAAAGCGAATTCGGACATGTGTAAGATTCGCATCGTCCGCAACCCTTCCTTCAACTCCAATTTAGACGGTGTTATGAACAGTATGCGCTTCCCCTCTCCGACTCGTGGTCTCCTCTACGTCACTTCCATGGAGGTGGGACGCCTGCACCGCCATTGGAACACCTTGCCGCGTGCTTTCACGCTAGCTTCCTCGCACTCGGCCTGGAGCCACTTGCCTCGGAACTCGCTCAAGAAAAATCAGATCCACATGCACCGCTGGACTGCTGATGGACTGAGATTTGATGCTACCTGGTATACGCGGAGGCGGAGGGTGGTTCGAGTGATGCGACCCATAGGATAGAAGAGTGGACGTCCGGGAGGAGTTCCACCGGTGTGAAACTGAGAATTATTGCTCCAGTGCCCAGGGATTATATAAAGAAATAATGTAGGAATAGCCGAGGGCTTTGCATGGAACCAATTTTCCAACCTGCTGATCTTTCCCGACAAGCTGCTCGCAACGTTCCTCAGGACATTCCTCAGTGAACGCGATATATGGGCATCACATTCCATCACGCAATGATGAAGAAATTTAGGGATCTGGTTGGTAGTGAAAACGACAGAGTATCCTTTTTCAAAGGGTATTTCCTCAGACTTACCGCTCCTTCGATTTCAACAATAATGATGTATTTGGGTTGCTCGCTGCTCCACTTTCAGGAGTCGAACGGAAATGGAAAATTGCCATCCTTGTGCGAAATTAGTTCGACTTTGTAATCCCTCGTGCATTTAAAAGGTGAGTGAAACCCATTGTATATGTATTCCAACGATGTGACGCCGTTTCCTGACAGGAGGACGATTCATTCAGAAAAGCTCAAAAAAAGAATCCCAATTCGCCATTAGTCTTCCTTACACTACGAACCATCGAACCTTTCACCCACTCCCCATCGACTTTTTACAAACCGTATGGCTATCTCTCTGAACCCGTCCAGGTCTTCATCATTTCTAGTTAGTTTTCTGCTATTGAGCGAGGATTTGGCTAATGCCCAAACGGCCATGGAGCATGGAGGCAAAGCTGCCTAATTTACCAAAGGAGGCTAGTAGATGGGATACGCAGGAGACCATTTACGAAGCCTAAGCCTAATTCGAGTTTCAACGATCTCGATCGATGTTCGCGATGGTATCAAGAAATAAATATGTGGCACTCCCCCTCCCCCGATGGCCGTTGTGTAGCCCTCGGTATCGAATCGACCCCACTGATGATGAGTGCACGATTTCCCGATTCTAGCCGACTACCTTACCTCGATTGAATTTGTCTGTGGTAGCTATCGTGTCGTTAACAACCAAGGATAACGAGGGGAATGCCAACTATCCTTAGCCAGGTAGGACCCCCCCCCCATAAATCCCGGTATCCCCAATGGCTCCTTACTGGGACTCTAGCGTCGGATAATGGATTATTTGTCGTTCGATTTCCACGGAAAATCGACCAGCCTTGGTACTACTTCAAGCGACCCGCACGTTCAGCTCTTAAGTTGGCCTTGCTTCTCCTTCGAACCCTTCCATTCCACCCTTTCGCTCAAGTTCTTTGTTAACCATCCCTCATCGCCGCACGCTTGGGTTTACAGAGTCGATCGCGCGTCATCACGTTACGAATTCCAGTTCTCAGATTATGAATCCCACAGTGTCCACTCCTTGCTCGTATCTCCTATATTCCTGGTCCCGTGTCCATCCGACTCACTGAAGGTGACACGACAGACATGCATCATTCCGGAGTGGACGCAGAGCATGAACTTAGATGGCATCTAGTAGATCAAGCCTCATGCATGGAGAGCTCGGCGTCTATTCACCTGTTTCTGGGAGAACCCCGCTATCGTGCGTCCAACCGCAGAACAGAATCCTCGCGCCGCTCGCGGTGATCTAAGGGTACGTGGCGTCAACCGTCTGAAAGCTTGGTACGGTGATCGAACGCCGTTCGATGCTACGAATCTTTACCACCTTCCGTCCGGCAGGGATGTGACTCCAAGGCCGGATGATGGCTCCAATTGTCTTCGATATTAGTTAGGATGCCTGTGGCTGTTGCCATGATATGGTCCCCGAGAATCTTGGTACTCTCCCCAACGGCCCCTTTCCTGCTGAAACACTGATGTCTGGTACGACAACATGATGCTCATGCCGACGGACCCGCATGTTCAGCCCACCCCCACCCATTCTGACCCTTCCACTCCATTCTTCGTCGTCGCAACGCATGGGTTTCCTCCCGGAGTCAGCGCTTTCACTTAGTCAGCGGAGTCGGGCGAGTTCACCCCGCGCCCCACAGCGTTACGAATGTCAGTTCTTGGATTCTTGGATTATGAATTCCAGAGTCACACCACCGGATGCATGAAGATGCATCCCGTTTTATGCCCCCCCCCCCTTCCCCCAACCAAGCACGCACGAAGACCTCGGCGTCTGTTCGTCTGTTGCAAGGAGAACCCCATTGCTCTGGATGGGAAACATAAGCGAGGGGGCGCCAGTAGTATGGTTTGACGGCAAAACAGAGTCTATCATCTCGTACCCGCCGGGTGGGTTGCGTCAACCCTCGTATGGTGATCGAGTGCCATTTGATCCTGAAAATAACGAATCTCTATCACCTCCGGTCGAGCAAAGATGGAACTCTCTAAGACCGGATGACGGCTCCCATTGTCCGCGAAATATTAGCAAGCCGTTCAGGACGACGTTTGCGGTTGTTGCGATTCCTTTCTCTAGCCACCCAGCTCGAGTGTTTTTTCTGTCACTGTGTTATATATTGTCTGTATATCTTTGTACATCATTGCGCTTGACATTTTATAAAATTAAGTAATGATAACGAATTAGTAGTAAACACTGGTGAAGGGGAACAACCGGCGAAGCACCACCACCCCGAACAAGGATCCGGACGCAATAGCACAGCTTGCATATATCCACATCAAGATTCCTTTGCATGGATGAGTCGAACCAAGCATCTTCCCGGCATTGGTTGCTGCACTCATGGAATCCCCATCCGACATTCACCTATGGCTCATTGCTCCTTATGAGATTCTTGAGGACTAAAGATGCTGTGAGCACGGAGCCGCACTCCGAACAGATTGTCTTCGTCCGGCATGAAAATGCTGCAATTGAAAATTTCTGAGCGGAACCAGCAGGGCGGCCGATCCATCGTTGTCATCCCGTTTATTCTAAGGCCAAATGCCTTTCACCTTTCCGGCGGTGTTCGATGCTCTGGATAGATTCAGATAGTAATAGAAAGGAATGTCAAGCTTTCTCCCCACCAGCGGTCGGAAACAGAGTGGGTTGGCGGAAAGAAGTGGAGACAAATCACTTTTGAACATGCTTTCGAGTTCGTGGCTCTGAGGGAAGAAACGGGAGAGCTAGTGAAGGGAAGGAGTTATGTTGGCGCGTTACGCAGAGGCATTGGGGTGACAGGACTCCGCATGAGCAGAAGAAATAGAGGGAATCGATAAAACACAATTATGTAGGAGAGGAACTGATAAGAAGTCCATTGTGGCGTGCTCGTGTGATTGCCGTCTGAGAGTACAGAGCCTGATCGAGATATCATGGACGGATGGGACTTCGTCATCATTCGGAGTATTACTGATAACATCATCCACCCACCCACTCTCAAGGGTAGTAACGCTGGATATGTGGGGAAGGCTAGGTATTCCATGTTTTAGAACGACAGCGAAATAGGACACCTCCGCTGCTTGGATACCCGGAGGTGCGAGGTCGCCATAATCAGAGTTAAAAGCGGATACTACAGAGAGGAGCCCAGCAGCAATAGAGTCATGAAGCGCAAGATTTAAAATATTTGGTCTATCAGTTCTGTTGTTGGCTGGTAACCCAACAAAATAGTGGATGCCTGGTAAGTAATTTGTCTAAATCTGTGTCGGCGCCACACAAAGACACCCAGTCAGACAGCCCACTATCGATAGCTTGGATCCTATACGATGGACTAGGAAGTCGTCTAAAGCTGTTCTGGTATGACTCAGAGCTTTGGAATCGAAGCAATCGAATTTCTGAAGAGCGAATAACCGACAGGGGCGACAAGATGGACACCAGACGAGACTCTGATGTTCGTGTGTGCAATTAATTTGGATGTTCGTGTATAGATAGTTCGCTGTGGCAGGAGAGGCTGCGTTTGGTTGTCCGAATCAAACAACTATCAACAGCGGCGACCGTGCTAAACAGCTGGCTGTGTCTCGATTTGAGGGGTCTTATTTGGTCGCGTGATATATGAAAGCTGGGGTATAGATGTCCCCCAAATCGGGAAACTGACGAGAAGGCACTGCCACTGCCCCCGAAACTCACCTCCTGCACACCTTGCGTAGCTGGATCGATCAGGTCTCAGATGGTGTAGTGTGGAGGGAATGGCCTATTTCGATGTAACGCAAACTAATCCCAGAGCCCATTCCACTTATCAGGGCCAGTTATCATGTCACTGTGATCGACCTTCAATGCCATCTCCCCAGTCCGATCCACACTTTCTCAATGTCGATCTACCACACAAACCTCTTGTGGACCCGCTCTGGATTCCTCCGAGGAGTTGAATCGGGATTTGGAGGTGGAATCGACCCTTGGTTGGCTCCGGAATGGTGTCGGCATCAACTTGAAAGGGGACGTTCGGGGAGCGGAATTATATATGCGATCTGGGTACCAGCTTTAGGATACATGGCTACGCAACAGGAGATGGGTAGATCGACCCATAAATGCTCCAAACGATGTAGATACAACATTTTGTTTTCAAGATATCAAATTTGATGGATCGGATGCAAATTGAAGATTTCCCCTAAACCCAAAACGACCTCCAGAACGAGAGAAAACTCTCATAATGTCCTCCCCTCTGAAAAACACGTCCAATAACGCGTCTGACGCATCCAGTGATACACCTAATGCTTCCATCCTCCACTTGAATGCCAATTTCACGGACGGAATCACGGTGTTGACAACAGCGCCTGCAGCAAATGACTTTTTGGGAGAAAAAACTGGTCCATTTGCAGACCTAAGGGCACTTGTCGAGAAACACACTACAATGGCCCACAGGGCCAGCTTTCAGCCACTTCCCTCCCTGGAAAACGTAGTTCAGGATGTTGCACAGCACCTGTGGGGACATACACTCCCCAAAACTATTGGAACAATTGGCGACATATTTGATGCTGTCTCACTGACAAATGACTTAAGTTTCGAAAGTGAGTCATTATCTAAACAGCTCCAAGCCACTCAGTTATCCTCAACATTCTGGACAGTATTCCTAGAGACATGCATTGCCGCATATGCAAAGAAACGTGGCAAGTCACCTCAGGAGGCCATGGAATGTTTCCGTTCACATGTTCCGAGTGAGGTAGGACAAACAGCTTGGCAGGCATGGTTGAAATTGCACCGTAAGTTCACAACACGGTCACACTCTCACACACTCAATATTTCCCCTTTCAGCTGGGAAAGATAGCTCAGAGGCAGGAAGCCTTCGTAAGGCAGAGCAATTGAAGATCGAAGAGAAATACCCTGAGAGGGCCGATGAAGCAAAGGCTTTTTATGACAAGTTGCTCGTGCATTATGGGGATGCAATCCTACCAAAAGACGAGAGGGAAACACGATCTGAAAAGGGCTTCTACTTGCTACAAAAGCTGACTGGCAGATACGCTGCTCAGGTGAAGTTGGAGATCAATATTATTGTAGATCTAATTTGACAAAATAGTGACATGATAGGCTTCCATGCTCAGCTCGATTTACCCTGTTGGCATTGCACTTGTGGGCTTCACTTCCGATGAAGCAGTGCCACCACAAGAGTCAACCATTGTGTTCACCAGTTCACCATTCATCGCTGAACTAGTGAAAACATTGGGATTACCCTTTACTCAATAGGCCGTGCAAAGTATGAGGTCCCTGTATGACGGAGTATCAGCATTCAGGTGAGCAAGATAGATATGGCAATGCACAAGGAGCCTACTTATAATGTTTCCTCAGCCCTTATCAGCCCACATCAGCAAAAGTCCATTATGCTCCAGAGCATCAAGAGTGGCTGGAGCATGTGGGAGACAAAACAGCAGATTGGGCACTCCTGGAGCCAATAGTGTTCTCCTGGGAGGGGGTTCAGGAGCAGCTGGGAGTGGTGAGGAGTATGTAATGTGCCAGGAACAGTGGGAGGAAAATTTTGGTCTCTAAAAAGTTGAAAAAAAAATTTAGGGAAAAATCAAAAAAAAAAATTCAGGAACTATAGTGCCTTTAAAGTGCTTTCAGGACATATAATTATTTGCAAAATTGAGGAAGAAATGATGGAGAAAAATGGAAAATACTTTCGGAGACCCGAGAAATAATGAGAACTGAATTGATGGGAAAGTCTGAAAATTGAATAGGAAAGTGAGGGGAAGCCTTGTAAGCATTGTTATTTTCTGCTGTTCTGATTTTTCCTGATTGTTCTTGGTCTCACTCCCAGCTGCTCCTAGACCCTCCCAGGAGCTTCCAGGAGTATTGAGGAGCAGCTGGGAATGAGACCAAGAAGAATCGGGAAAAATCAGAACAGCAGAAAATAACAATGCTACAAGGCTTCCCCTCACTTTCCTATTCAATTTTCAGACTTTCCCATCAATTCAGTTCTTGGGTCTCCAAAAGTATTTTCCATTAGCTGCTCCTGGACCCTCCCAGGAGCTTCCAGGAGTATCCAGGAGTATCCAGTAGCAGCTGGGAGTGAGACCAAGAACAATCAGGAAAAATTAGAACAGCAGAAAATAACAATGCTACAAGGCTTCCCCTCACTTCCCTATTCAATTTTCAGACTTTCCCATCAATTCAGTTCTCATTATTTCTTGGGTCTCCGAAAGTATTTTCCATTTTTCTCCATCATTTCTTCCTCGATTTTGCAAATAATTATATATCCTGAAAGCACTTCAAAGGCACTACAGTTCCTGAATTTTTTTGATTTTTTCCCTAATTATTTTTTTCAACTTTTTAGAAGTCCCTATTTTTCAAATTTTCCTCATTTCCCTCTATATCCCCCCCTCATTCCCCCCTCATTCCCCCCCTCATTCTCCCCCTCATTCTCCCCTCATTCTCCCCCTCATTTCCCCCTCATTTCCCCCTCCCCCATATTCTGCCAGCCCGAAAGTGATTAAGTTGCTAGATTAATCATATATCAGGCCATAAATTTTGATTGTGTATTGGTGAGTCTCAGTGTCCTTGATATATAGTATAGTGTTTGATCTAAATGTTAAGCAGTGTCTTGTTGTGTTAGTCTTGTGGTAGGAGGTATTCATGGGGGATCTTCCCTCTTTTTTTCCTTTTCATTTTCAAATGCTCCAGGAGCTCCCAGAAGCTTCTCACCCCTATACACTTTGAAGCATTTAAATTGTATTTACTGGATATGTTTGTGCACAAAGCAATGCTCCAGGCCCTCCTGGGAGTGCCCTGGAGTACCTAGCCAACTCCGGAGGAAATGGGCTGTTCCTGGACCAGCCAATCTCCTCCTGATTCTCCCAGTGCTCTCGATACTCCGGAGCACTCAGGAGCATAACAATTTTTTGCTGATGCCAATGCTGCCAAACAAAAGTCTGTATATCCGGCCCTTTCCTGCTGCTTATGCTAACTTGCTGTAGAGCTTTCCTCCGTCACCTTAGTGATTTCAAGGCCCCTGTGAAGTCTGAGAATGAGGAACATAGTATATCGGGCCTTATGAAGGCCATCCTGCAACATGCCAAAAAAACTGTCCATTTTAATGATGACTTAGAGAGGCATCCAGGTGGCAGCGATGTATGCGTGAAGCTGAAGGCTATAGATGAGGATAATGTGGACTTTTATACACCAGTGATGAAAAACGAGGATGGCTTCGCTATTGAAATCGACAAGGAGTTTGGTAAGCCCATGGAGTGCCGCAAGTTGTGTGCTAAACAACTCCGGATGTTAATCAGTATGTCTTCAGGTTGAGCCTGGGTGATCACCGACTGACTGTCAGGGACAGCTCCGAAAGCGGCGAGGTCCCGGCACGAGGGACTCGATGGGACAGATGTCGGCTATGCGTAGCGGCGGTCCCGTTGTGGGGTGAGTGTCCCCAACCACTTAGTCTGAAGTGGGAAGTTGAATTATCATTAAAAGGGGAAGCTACGGTACTTACCTGAAGTGGGAAGTTGAGAAGAAGGCTGCTTCTTCTGTTCCCACCCCAGGTGCTATTATATACATGTGGTTGGGGTCACGTGGGAGGAGCCACGTCATCCCCGCACACAGCCGCACTCCCCTGGGTATCTCCGTGGGAGATCCCGGAGGTGTGCCGCTCTGTGAGCGGGAATGCGCACGGCGGGCGCAGCGATCGGGGGAGCGGGGTTAAGTGTGTAGTAATACATAGAGAAGGGGAAGTCGACCATGGAACGGAAATAGAAAGGAAGAAGGAAAGGGGAAAGAAGAAACAGGGAGTGATAGCGGGGGAGCGGAGCAGGGCGGCGCGGCACGGGGTCAGGTGGGGTGTGCCCTGACACTGACATACACGCTAGGTGATAAAGTGGGCTCAGCTGACGAGGTGCAGGACAACTGGAAGAGTGCCAACATTCTCCCCCTCTTACTTGAGCATCACCTTCGATTTGCCGGGTGGCATCGTGGAGTACCATGCTTGGATAAGTCACTGCCATCCAATTGGACGCCACGTGAAACTGCCCGTTGCTTGTTGCAACTCTCTCACACCATTCCAGCCCAGAGGTTGAGAGTCGAGACCATGACCGAAGGTAAGGGTATATCAGTAAATGTTTGAAGGTTAGAGCTGAGGTACCGTTGTCCAGAGGAATATGTGGAACGCGAGGTAGTGCACTGGGCTCCAGACCCAAAGGGTGAGGTTCGATCTTATGTATTGCCCGAAGATCAGGTATGCAGGGCCGTGGCCAAGACAGTGGCCATCAGCACTCAAGCAGGACGTCCAGAAAAATGCAAGGCAGACTCGCCAGAAGTGACTAGTGCCAATGACCAGGGGACATCAAGTCATCCAAGCCCCAAACGGATGAGGACTAGGTCGAAGAGGATATCAAGTAAGCCTAAACAGGCGAGAGCTAAGCCTGGACGGAAGGTCCCAGTCGTGAGCAACCACGTAGTGAAAACAATGCCGGAAACGACAGCTGGGACTAGTCAGGCAAACGAAACAACCGTTCCAGAGACCCCTAGCGAGCAGCTGCATGAATCAGACAGATCGGTTTCGCCAGTAACAGCTGGCGAGTCCCACACATCCATCCTCCTGCACTTTCATCTGATGCAGCAAGGTGGGAATGAGGTGCCAGAAATTGAGAGATTTCACACAACAACGACCACCCCTCGCTTCGATCTTATGCCACACAATGAGAATGAGGTCCCGAAGATTGGAGGATCCCACACAATGACCACCATCCCTTGCTTCGATTTTTTGCCTCAAAGTGAGAACGAGGTCTGTCATGACCATGCATTCTGACCCAGATGCCAGCCCTTATTCTGTTTCCTTTTGTTTCATTTGTCACCTGACCCATTCAGTTTCTTACTATATATATATGTATATTACATTATTATAACTTTAGTCTGAATATTGACATGGTTTGTCCCCCCTAACAAGGCAGCCCAAGCCACTTCGAAATGTGGGCACTGAGACAGTAGGTGGGCACAGTGCTCTCTTGGAGTCGCTGAGGCCGAAGCCCAACCCCGGAGCCTTGTCCCTGCCAGTCGTCCCCGTTTGCTGACCCGTACCTAACAAGGTCTTGACAATTGGAGGATCTTACACAATCCCTCACTTCGATCTAACAACGCAGAGTGAGAACGAGGTCCTGATGATGGAAGAATCTTACACGGCACCCAGCACCCCTCGCTTCGATCTGATGCCACAAAGCGAGGACGAAGCCCCGAAGATTGGGGCATTGCACACCATGCCTCACTTCAATCTGAAGCCGCAAAACAGAAGAAGCATCTCCAGAGAGGGAGGATGCAGTGCCTCTCCCGCAGTGGCCATCACGCAATTTAATCTGATGCCCCAAAGCGGGAATAGCATGAGTACCGCCATTCTTCCCATTGATCCTTTGCTGCAAAATGGGGACAATATTCTGGCGAAGCCAAGGGGTGGAACGATGGACCGATCCCCAAGAATGGCGTCTATTCCACCGATTAAGGTGATTAACCCAACACCCCAAAGCAGCCCGATTAAAGGGCAGTCAGGATTGAGGGAGAAGAACAACGGCGTCAGCTATCTCACTGTCAAGAATGAACATGACTCTCGCTCACGTTCAGAATCTCCTTCCTCCACAGCAAGTACAAATGGAGAGCCCATCACCTATGACCACCTCCTTAGGTGTGCACAGAACGGGGTGTGGAGGGCGGCTATAAAGGCTGCCACGATCCTTTGTTCGGAAGCACTCGAGAGTCAAGATGTTGAACTCCTGGTTAAGGTCGATGTCATTGCTGAGCAAATTAAAAGCAAACAGTCACCACTCGACGAGCCAGATGTTTCCTTGCATTGGCAGCTCATTAATGATGCTGGGGAAGAACTTCTTCTAAATAAAGGGGCTGATGTTGGGAAGGTTGCTAGGTCAGTAGCTCAGCTTCTTGACGAGGCAGAGGCCAGCGAAGAAAGGGATGGGGTAATGGACAAATGGATTGCCAGGCTGCCACGCAGGGCGCCCTGAGAGTAATAGCCAATCCTAACATTTCGGCCTAAGTGGTAATCAGTATTCTACAAATTTATGTTTGGCGTTTGGTTGAAATGAAATGCCGCCAAGTACACTTATTTATAAGGACATAAGGATCAAGTTGAGTAAAAATTAAAATGGTTTAAATGGCGTTCAATAGCCAGATGTGAGGATTAGATGACATATATCATACAACATCATTTCGTGCTGTGCCAAACGAGAACACAATCTACGTTGCACGAAATAATTGGGTAGAAGACGCCGGAGTACACGGAGGCATAGACAACAAATACGACAGCCGCTGTGCAACGCTAGGCAACTCTCCGACTACAGTTCGCCACATAGATCCTCCCTGGTTGGCTTGTTTGGAGGAGCAGGTGGGAACTCCGCCATTTTGAGTGCGAAGAGCCCGGTTTTTGGCTGCCAGTGAATGGACTCAAACTCCTCTTGAGATGGGCCCCCGGACTTCCTTAACATCTCATTCGATCGACATTCGATGCCCTCAAAAAGTTGCCTTCCAGTGCTGGAAATGAAACGGACAACACTGGGGTAGATAGAGCCCTCCGAAAGGTAGATCCGTTGACGGAATGTGCGCCTGAAGCGCTGAAGGCGACAAAGGATGAGACAAAAACGAAGGAGTCCAAGATATTCCTCTTGGTTCAGCTCAAGAGGCCTGTGCAAGCACATCCTTTCGAGCGCTTCATGCCTGAAGGTCACCTCGATGACGTTAAACAGCAAGCGTCCTTGGCCGGCTGTCGCCATTATAATCGGGAAGCGATTATACTCGAAAAGATCTTGCGAGTACATCCGCATCCACAGCTCTGTTATCTCGGCTGGCAGTGTGTCTGGGCCTCGAGGGATGAGTGGCGCTGGAGCGCGATCCAGGAGGATTTTGGTGGTGGCTTCATCGTATGGGCGAGAAAAGACCTCACCGATGTACCCAAGCTCATAGATGCCAGTATACCCGCTTGGGGTGTAGTCGTGCATGTTGATATCTCTGAGAATTGCACCTGAAAATCTTGATTGGAGGTATCACCTGAGACTCTCATTGCACTCCTGTGTCTTGCAAAGCAACTTCAGAGTGTGCATCAAGCCATCCCAGCCCTCCACTTTCCGGTTCAAGGAGGGATCACGGACTTCTCGAAAGGCAAGAATGCCCCGCATCTTGACCGCTTCCAAGTCATCACGTAGCTCCAGTACCGGACCTGATAGGCGTATGGATATGCCAACCCAAACATCAGCAGCGGCAGAGTCAACCCTAGGCGACGAAAAAGCGCTAGACAGGCCAATAAAGGGTACAGATTGATTAGACGATGGAAGGGGATGGTTAGGTTGGTAGTACGAGGGAGGTATTTTGACAAATGCTGTCAACAGTGGAGTATGGGCGCCAATGGCGAATGGAATTCTCATCTTTTCCCATTTTGTTCCTTCCAGGGTTGCTCTATGGTGAAGGCCCTCTTCGTATTTTAAATCTAGCCAGACTCCTTGTAGCACACTCTTCATTGTAACAGTGAAGTCGCTGAACGGAATAGGATTCCCCTCGGGGGCGAGTGCATTCAGGCATTGCTCCATGACAAATTGCTGACTGGAGAAATCATCTCGTGGAGCCACGAACACGTAATGCTGAGGGCGAGAACATGTGATGGTTCCCGTAACAACAAAATCGAACCCAACAATAATATCCCCCTTCACAATGCCTCTCGAGTCTTTGGATTGAGCACGGTTCCGTATCTCCTGTTGAAGGGCATGCTCTGCTGCATGATCGAATAGAGGGGGACATGATCGACAAACTGCAAAGCGCTTTTCACCATATTCCACACTCCAATGGGGAATTCCCCACCGTTCTAGAGTGAGGGCAAAGGCTTGGGCAGAGGCGCTGAGAGTGAGGTCGTGAACCTCAGAGTGAGTGCCATCTGAGCCATCAAAAATAGTTCCAATGGCTATTTCTTGAACTGGCCACGTCGGAAGTTCCATACCACCCAATACGGCACACGCATCAAGGGAAACGAGAAGGCAATAGCGAAGAAGTCCTCGTAGTTCTCCAATCTGGCGCTCGATCTCGCCAACAGTTTCACAATGATATGTCTCGGATCCCGCAATCATGCGGGATTGAAGCAGCTTGTCGAGATAGAGCTCCAACTCATGCTTGAGTATTCTGATGATTTCACGGTGAGAGGGAAGGATTTCTGCTCGGCAGAGACGAGAGACAGTGCTCTGAACGAGGTGAAGGAGTTGCTTCAGCACGGACTGTGTGCCTAAGAGTCTCTCTCTCCACTCAGACGTTGGGAGCCAATTCAAACCATCAGGAGCACGAAGCAAGTTGATGTTAACGAGTGGCGCTTTGATATAATGAAAAGGGGGGCGGAGCTCAATGAGCGCAAGGTATGGGCGGAGTGGATCGAAGCTGACTGGTCTCTGGCAAAAGTCCATGAACTCTCGATATTTTGGAGAAGCGTTCAAGACACTTGTCTTCGCTGAGGGTGTAGCGCTCACCCAGGAGGCGTATGTTCCATTGTAGGGGAAAATCTTATCAGTGTTCATGGCCACAATGTGGATCAGCCTCTGACGGTACGCCCACTTGATACTACCTTCTAGACATCCTCTATGTATTAGACTGGAGGTATCCCGATAGAAAAGGAAACAGTAGAGAGCTTACGAGACAACTCTGTTCTCCATTTCTCAACATGGCTTGCAGCCTCAGGACCAGGGGAAAGTAGCGGAATGGGTGAACGAGGCGCACCTATCAACATCATCATGAGAATAGCAAATAGGACATTACTAAACATACTATGTGTACCTCGAATGATCATAGCGTCCTTTAGCAAAGACGCTGTCCCTCCATCCCGTGCCACAATTTGTTTGACTGAGGTGAAACGTGTGATATCTGGTGGTACTCTCGGTCTTGATGGTGGCTCGAAGGAGGATGGCAGGAGGGGTAGAGGGGGTCCTGGTCGGTATTGGGAGGTAGGAGCCGACATATGTGAGATTTGGGCTGCTTCGAACTGAACGCCTTTCATAGTGAGGGATGGGTGATGCTGTCCGGGCACACACGGAAGTGCTTTTGATCTTGATGACGACTCATAGGAGGATGACGGGGGGAGTGGACGGAGTTCCTGTCGAGATTGGGAAGTGGGGACTGAGGCATGGGCTAATGGGTTTTGGGCTTCCTGGACACCCTCCATGGCCGGAGGTGAAGGAGGGCGACGGTGTTCTGGCGCATAGGAACACTCTACAGCCGTACAGTGATCATATCCGGCGGTCCGCCGTCCTGGGCGGTTTGTGGGATGAGAGGAATGATGTGAGACTTCCCAGGTTAAAGGCAACCTGGGAGGCGCCCAACGTGCACACTGTTGGGCTCGATGAACTGGACGTTCCTGATCCTCTCGCACCTCGAAAGGACAGCGTAAATCCCACCGCAGCCCTGGAGGTCCCCTCCTTGGTGCGCCTGAGCATCGACGGGGATAAGGGCTTCGTCGAAGGGGAGATCGAGTTCGTTGACGAAACCCTTGACCAGAACGAGAGTAGAGGCGAGAGGTATGTGGTGTTGATGGAACTGAGGAATCATACCTTTCTGAGGGTGACATAGAAGGCTCCTCTTCTTCTGCCCAGTCGTTCTCGCTAAAGAACTCTTCTGGTTCAGAAGAGACCCCATCATCATCCTGTGGCAGGCGGAATGGATGTCCAGCGAGTCTCAGCAGGATATCTCCATCCTCGGTAAGAGTACACAGGGAAAAGAACCGAACCGCCCCAGGGGGATATGTTGGTCCAGCGGGTTTGAAACGGTCGTGATAACGGGCATTGGAAAATGCAGAGGCCGCCTCATCAGCTATACCAATCGGTCCTGATGATGTAGTTCCGATGAGATGCTGCTCCCAGTGCTGCATGCAGATGCATTCTGCAATGCTCTCGTTATTATCCATTATCGCCCTCTTCATGGATTTGGTCCACTTTGACGGGTCTAGCCTCTTGAGGAAGACCTCACCGAAAGTCTTTCCTACAGTCCAGCCTTCCTTGCGATCAGGATATGGGAAAGAAATGGGCTCGGGTGATGGTGTAGGCAGGGGCATGGGATGAACGAAGCACCGCAAATACCGTCGCGCCCCATGAGGAAAGCGGCTGTATTCTGGAGGGGAGATTTCGGATTCATTTTGTATGCATGAATCAATGGCTTCTTGAAGCCATGGTCGGGGAATGAGAGATTCGGATGGAAGGACAAATACCTCAAACACAGCATGGTAGTAATGGTGGGAGTACGGTAACTTTAGCTTGCATCTCTGAATCGCTCCACCCAGTGAATGATCGACAACAAGACTAATCACCTCCTCCACTCTCGCAATCCGTTGGTCATAGAGAAAGCGGCTGGGGTGCAGCGAGCCATCATGCGACAGCAGCCCAAGTGGGCGAATATAGAAAATGCCCTGGCAAAGTCAATTAGCATTGGGAATGGGAATAGGCGAGGCCTCCATGGCTTCAGAGCTCATAGTCAAGTGAATGACCTCCAACTGGAGGTTTCCAGCCTCACGGAGAAAGGGATAAGGTGGCAGCGACAAGATCGACCATGTAGAAAGCGTCGTGCGACCTGGGATGGGGCTCGACCAATATCTGGGAAGCCAATCAAGCAGGGGAAAAGGCTACAACGTGGAGAGTGAAGTAGAAGGACCGATCACACCCCTATCGTGGAAGAGGTCCAATGGCCTGGGTGACCAGACTGTCTAGGATCAATCGATATCTCCGTGATGGCAGCAAGCCACTAAGACTCTCCGCCTTCTAGAAACACTGAAGGCTCCTGAACGGAACAACGCCAGCACGAACCCGATTGTGATTCCTGTGTCTCGTCGCTGTCAGGGCACACCCCACCTGACCCCGCGCCACGCCGCCCTACTCCGCTCCCCCGCTATCACTCCCTGTTTCTCCTTTCCCCTTTCCTTCTTTCTTTCTATTTCTGTTCCATGGTCGACTTCCCCTTCTCTATGTACTACTACACACTTAACCCCGCTCCCCCGATCGCCACGCCCGCCGTGCGCATTCCCGCTCACAGAGTGGCACACCTCCGGGATCTCCCACGGAGATACCCAGGGGAGTGCGGCTGTGTGCGGGGATGACGTGGCTCCTCCCACGTGACCCCAACCGCATGTATATAATAGCACCTGGGGTGGGAACAGAAGAAGCAGCCTTCTTCTCAACTTCCCACTTCAGGTAAGTACTGTAGCTTCCCCTTTTTAATGATAATTCAACTCCCCACTTCAGACTAAGTGGTCGGGGACGCTCACCCCGCAACGGGACCGCCGCTACGCATAGCCGACATCTGTCCCATCGAGTCCCTCGCGCCGGGACCTCGCCGCTTTCGGAGCTGTCCCTGACAGTCGCAACGTGAACGAGGTGTGTACAAGGGAATGAGATTCATACCCACTGGAGCCTGAGACAGGTTGGTTGATTAAGCAGGTGTCACGGTGACGTCGTGACAAGGCTGCAAGCAAACGAAAGATCAGAACGAGTTTCGAATGACACATGTACGCAAGGTGAACAGGGAAAGTACTTAACAGTTACAAGGATTGGTGGCTGCGGTGCTGTCCAATGAGGTCGAGACCACAAATTATTAGAGAAGGCAAAGGATTTAGATCATGTATGAAAGGCAAACAGAATAGTACTTACATTACAATGACCAGCAGTTACCCTCAGATTGTCGGGATGCAGTGAAGAGACCAGACGACGTCAAAGGTTGTCGAAACGAGAATAGGCTCGTGACCTCAATTGGCGTGGGATTAACTCTGACAAAGTTCAGATCAAGCTGTCATGGATATTCCTCAGGTGCGACTTTGCCATCCCAATAGCTTTTTAATACTGAGTTGGTCTATCGTAGGCAGGAATCACCAATGCTAAGGAGAAACGAGGTCGCGGACGTCCTCGTTTGTATGCCACAGCCGATGAGCGCCAGGCGGCTAATACACAGCAACAGCGCAATCGTCGGGAAAAGCTCAGAGTGTAGGAGATGATTATACATCGCTCTAATATGTAAGATATTGAGCTAACAGGTCATTAAATAAGAGAGATCGACCCTGTATCGGACTCCCTAACTACGGGAACCCAATCTGCCACTCATTCAGCCAGATCCCACAAGGTGAAGCGGTAAGATGCCTTATATGATTGGATGACAAGGTACTAATCAAGTGTTTCCAAGGGCAATCAAACAAGCTTCACTTATGCATTTAGGCATGGTACGAACACACGATGAGTTCAACCCACTCTCAGCTATGGAACGTTGGCCCCCTATTGGGGAGGACCCAGGGTGCCAACACTGCGGTGTCGATTTAAACGAGTATACAAACCTGGAATCGAGATGCAAGGAGTTGGAGGACGAGCTTCAGAAGCTTCGAGCCGAAGCTTCGATGAGTGCCAACAAGACTCAGTGATGCGAAATCTCTTTCATGGAGTGGGCGAATCTTTGTACTCATTAGGGAACACTGTTATACATATTTTACACATGTGAATGATGACAATGTGGCTGAATGGATGACTAATATTGGTGCAGTGAGTGAACACCTCATTGAAATGAGGGGGGTCGGTTTGGGTATAATGTAGGGCTGGAAAACATACGTGCTGCACAATGGGAATGAACAGGAGAACTATGATACATAATTATCCATGTGCAATGCACGAGAAAAAAGAAAATTATGATACATGTGTGCATTCAACAGCGAAGACATTAATATCCAAGGGCACCAGCCTTAGCTAGGCTATCTGCTCGGTCGTTTCCTTGAATGCCCTGGTGGGATGGGCACCAACTTATCACAATATCAATATGCGGCCGGTTTTGCAGCAACTTGCCCATCTCTTTCCGGAATTCTTTCGAGTACTGGCATCCTATTTTCGGCGTGGGCTCGATGATTCGTTCAATCGATGTAACATCGTCAGAGTATATGAAAATGCGGGTTGGCTGGGGTGCCGCACTGATAGCCTTGATTGTCTTTTCTATTTCCGCTGCCACTACTTGAAGGGCCATCATCTCCCCTTCGAATGTATCGACATTGCCGACCCTCCCCCTCTCCTCAAACACTACATTTTGGTTGGAGTAGCCAACCACCCCATACCCTGTCTTCACGACTCCATTGTTCCGGTACTGCGATGGGTCGCAGTACATGAAGAGATCCGATACATGGTTTTGGTTTTGAGCGATAAAGTTGACATGATATTTCGCCCACACCCGCTTGTACGATCTATTCCGGGGTGGCAAATGGACCTGCACTCGAGTAAACTCAGGTCCTGGCATCGTTTTGAGGCGAAGGGGTCTCGACATTTGGAATTGGGGGGGGTGGGGGGGTTTTGAACGATTCGCAGGTTTGAACTAATTTGTAGTATTCGGATGAGTTTGCAGCAGAAAGAATTGAAGGAGGGGGCAAGGGTTTTTACCGAGTAGTAGTTCCTGTATCGCCCGCTTGGTAGTGGTAGTGTGAAGGGGTGAGCAAGAAATCGAGTGGCGTTTTGGACGATGTGTGACAGCTGTCACGAAGATCAGCAGCCGTTGAGGTGCCATCCCCAGCGTGGGTGGTGGCCAAGTCACGCGTGTTTGGTGCCAGGGGGAAGGTAGAGTGCTAGTGGCAGGATTCACGAGCGAGGGAACACTTACATTGATGAGGGAGTTGGGTCAGCTATACTTGACCTGGCACCACTGCAGCAGTCTCGGCCATTCAGTTCTAGGATTACCAACAGTGTTGGTCTCACGTCGTTAGAATGATCCCAATTCTCTCATCGTGCGGAATTTGGTGGCCTTCGCCTCAACATTCGTAGCTCTTCGCACAACCTAGCCATCGGCATCGGACCAGATAGCCCTTCTACATTGTCTGTACCAACTCCAATCATGACTCAAAGCCCTGACGTGTCCAGAAAGTGGACTCCTCCCACGTTCTCTGATGCCTCGAGTCTGACAAGACACACAACTCTCAAAAGTGCTCGTTCTGTTCCGGCGACACCGTTGACTAATTTGTCCAACACGGCACTTCGTACTGACCTCGGTATAATGTCCACCAAGACACCTGGTGGTCCAGTGTCACCTTCGCAACCTGTCGAACGTGCTACACAGGGGTTCCCAGCTTGTTTGGTGCATCGGGGAAGGTAGAGTGCTAGTGGCAGGATTCACAAGTGAGGGAACACTTTACATTGATGAGGGAGTTGGGTCAGTTTTAATGAAAACATGCCTAGTGACTGCGCAGGCAGGTTGACCCAGCTTGTTTCTCATGAACCATGACCGGGCCGCTCAGAGGCCCGCAAGGGTCAATCTCCTGCGAGCGTATCGATGTGGACTGCCGACACATGTGGCGAGTTATGCATTTATGACACTGGGTTTCGTCCATGATACCTTTCTTTCTTTTGTCTTAACACTGGATTGCCATAAATATATTATTTCTAATGAATTTATCGGGCTGGTAGGCTTTCTCAACGGGTGTCAGACGTGACCCAGGACACAAATGCATTATTTTGTGACCTTGGCGAGTGATCTTCCATTCCTCGCAGTGGGAGTACATTGTTCGAGTGAGGTGAATAAGACGAGAGGCGTCTCGGGCATGGGGAAGGACTACGGACGAGTTGGGGACAAAGGAGTGGCGAAGAGTGGCTTATACTCCGACACTGATGGAAAGCTCCTTAATGTCGAGATAAAGGAAGGGGCGATTCACCAGATTGCTATGTTAAATATCTTGTTGGTAAACTTGAATTCAGAACCAAGCATACAGGATCTCGACTAGTCAGACAAATCTATCTGATCTTGTTCACCGTCCATCACTAATGGTGCGTCAGTATGGTCAATCCCAAGTTGGGCATAATCAACAGGAAATCTCGAGGCCACCATAGCAGCTTGCAACCGCAGTTCATGAAGGAGACTTGCGTCCAAGGTTTTCCACGTGGGCTGCCAGCGTGGATTTGAAACGGGAAGGGAAAGGATCTGGTGCCTCACCCTGTTTCGAAAGTGATCGACATTTGTACCGTTGGGAGCGGCATCGAGCCCGATATGCACGGCCTGAATGTCAGCCATAGTCCAAACGCCACAGTCGTGTCCGTTCCACTGGCGAGTTTCTTTCTAGGGTTTTTCATTATATCATGCTCAGAATGTTGAAGGATGGGACACCTACGGTGACTACTCTGGATCCCCAATTAGACCAATCGAATACACGGGTAGGGTGAACGAACGACCAGATGGCATCAACCAGTTGCCCAAGTATCTGAGGAAAGGGGATTTCCAACACTGCAGTGTGGACTACGATAGATGACGCACTGCAAAAACCCACTGTGGGCCATGATGACTTATGTCGAAGGTTTCAGGGAGAGGTATGCTATCCAGATAGCGGAGCTCTCGTTTTTCGAAGTTCACAACGCCAAGGAGCCAGTGAGACCGCTTCCGTGAGTAGCATGGGATCGTCCAGGAGGTTACTTCAAAAAGATCGGTTCGCACGTTTTTCGTTTCTTGCTAAGGACTTGGTCAGTAACAGCGTTGACTAGGGTGCTCCAGCATACGTCTAATAGGCGAACTGCCAAATGATGTCTCATTCCTTCACACTGGGTAGGAAACATGATCACACGGGGTCGAGTGGTCCTGAGCACATCCCGCAGGTTTTTGTCGGTAAGATCTTTCAACATCTCGATATAGGTATCGATTATTGTCCCATGTATCCGCCGCAGGCGATTGACCGTTGGCAATGCATCACAGAAGATTGAGATATGTTTATAATACCTCATTTGGCCGTCGTTCGCTATCTAACGGGACATCAGTGGCATCGAGCATAGGGGAACTTGGGGTCATTCTTACTCTTTCAGTTTCTCGAGGCAAATGCAGCTCCATAATTTCCTTCCAAATCTTTTTTGGCATTTGTTCTTGAACAGATTGGCCAGGTGAACGAATGGCATCGATGATCGTTGTAATCGGAGGAAGGGATTGAGGACGAGGGTTCTCATTCCAGAACTTTTCCTCGATGCTCTGCTCATCGTTGGAATTGTCCAGACCTGCTGACCAAAGCCCCTCAGGGGAAACTGGTTTGGCATGGAGCCCACCATCTGTTTCAGCACTCTCAGTGGGCTCATCCAGTGGTGCCTCAGACTCATCGTCTGAGATATCTCCAGGCACATCGAGGTCATCTGAGCCACTGGCACTGTCGATAGGGGGCTCGATGTCCTCAGCACCACCTAAATCTGACTCCGGGCTCATTCTAATAAGTCCATCAAGTACGCTCAGCTCGTTCCTGACCTCAACGTCATCGTCAGGATCTATGCTGTTGTTTCCTGAAGGCAAGGTGGAGGAATAAGGGAGGGGAAGGTGGAAGGAGGTATAGTCTATGTAACTTGGCGCAGCGGTGGGGTCTGGTCGTTCTAGGTTTTCGAGTAGATGACGTATTGGTGCACGCCAGAGATTGACATTGGGAGTTGATCCATTTATGATCGAGTCACGGCATTTGAGCAATGACTTGAGGCGCAGCCGTAATCGATACTTGAATAGTGCTAGGATCGAAGAGGACAGATTATCACACAAATATTAGTGGAATTCACATGACATACAATGAATACTGTCTACGATCTGGACCAATGAGTCGAACGATTCAACAATCCAAGTGTGTGCATTGAGTTCCTCTCGAGCGAGCCTGAGCTTTTCTTCCTTTATGCGAGCGAGCGATAGCACTGCTACTATGCCATGGCGAACTTCCTGATCAATGACAAAGGCAGGCGGTTTTTCGTCCAAGGACCAGTTGGAGTTCCATAAGGTCTCCCACATCTTTGCCCATCGTTCATCACTGGGATCCATCTGAAGCAACTCCTTGACATTCATTTTTGTGTGGCTTAGAGAATCTGGGAGCCAGGGCGGTCTCTCGGAACACTCGAGGTAGTCAACAAGCTCGTTATATTGGCGGACTTGCGTAGAAATGATCCGGGCACGCTTGTTTGCGCTACTGAGCACCGAGACCATTTTTGTGTATCCTAAAGTATCAGATGAGCTTCAACCACAACATCATTCACCTTGTGCATGGAGCATGTACCGACTTTTGTAACTAGTCGTCCTCCACACCGTTGTGAGCTGCGAATAGGGTTCATCTCATCCTGATACTTAGCTAGGCGGATAAGAATAGAATGCTTGCAGAACCGAGCCAGAATATACTTCTCGATGTATTCTTTTTCTTTGTCAGATGGGTTTTGCGGAAGTTTCAAATCGGATAAACCAATTTGGGCTGTCAGTTCGTGCAAGCGTGCCTGGGATTCATCGTGCAATGATCGTACATGCAGAGCAGCTTGATAATGCTCCTTCAGATCCATAGGCCTGTGAGACATCGTTCGCGCCAGGGAGATACGGTCCAGCTCCTTCTTTACAGCATCCAAGGCATCCGAATGCGCCTGAGCCGACCGTTCAGCTTCCAACAATTTGGCAAACTTTTTCATTCCAGCTTGGTCATTGTCTAGAGTATGGAAACGTTGGTTAATACCAAACATGAGGTTGGAAAGCGGCATACAGGCTCGAGCGGATAGTTGCAGAGTCTTTTGTGCCTCCCACTGGGATTGAAGGAATTGAGGTGTAAATCCCCTATTCTCCTTTAGTGTTTCAAGGAGATCAGTCGTAAGGGCTTCCTGTTGATGGATGGCACCCATTTTGGACCTTGCCAATGAAGCCAGACGATCTCGGCCCCGGGAGGCAATGAGCTTGATTTTGCTGTCGATAGTTGTTATCCGCTTTGCTGGCTATAGTTATGCAACAACATTTATCAGGTCTCACTGACATGCAAACAGCGTTAGGCACTGTCGGACTCACACTCATCATACGTTCAGGCACTATCATGTCTACGATCGAGGACCACAGTCGCTCGTTTCCCTCCCCATTTGACTTGCCAAATCCACTTCATTTCCATGGGTGGAATGCGATTTGGCAACAGAACTGATGTGCATACGCATGAAAGACTGTCAGGGCCCGGCCTCGGACTCGGAGGCTCCCTGACCTCAACCCCCATCTAGCCTGTCCTCACACTATGCGGGGCATGAGATGTATAGTAAAAGAAAGAGAATATATACACTTGCCTATGCGGGGCATGAGATGAGAAGAAGGGTAAAGGTCTCATCTCCCCGCATGGTTGCTATATAAAGGAATGGGTCACATGCCCACAACTATACAGCTCCTAGAGTTGTGTAGTGTGACCCGGAGGGAACATCCAGGTGGCAGTGCCCAGTAAGTGTGGGAACGTTCTGGGCGAGTTGCTCACCCAGAACTGTGGCTGTGACCCATGGGAACATTCTGGGCGAGCTGCTCGCTCAGAAAGTTCCCGCGCTATCCCGTGCGCGCGTGTACACAACACACAAAGGCAACAACAAGGCAACAGTCAAAGAATAAAAGGGGGTAAAGTAGGTGGGGAGTCCGGGGCACCCTAAGGCAGGGTGCTGAACCCTGACAAAGACCGAAACGGCGATACTCAATCTAGGAGCTATGTTGGGGATAAGATTATACTTTATTCAAACATCAGCTGTTGTGTTGCAGGTAGTGTAAAGTTATACCTTAGCGATTGATCGATCGAGAATGCACCCAACATCATACATTAATCCGATGGTGGCGTTTGAGGGCAGCTGGCAGCTGAGTGCGATGAGCATGGCAACGGAAAAGTGCTGCTGCTCGCCCGGGGTGTCCACGTCACAAAGAAAGAGGGGGATATCATGGCGGCAGACGGTAGCCATCAGACCCTTCGAACAGAAGGTATCGGTTTTCGACGCTGACCGTCTTCCATGCTTCGTGGCTCGGTGCGATTCCTCGCACTCCTCAATAGCACCATCCAGCACAAGAGATGAAGGACGAGATCCCGAAGAGCTTTGAGATGCATCTCGTGCCTCAAAGACATGGCGGGCAGCTTCACCAACTTCAGCACGGGTCAGGAAACTGCAGGTTTCGTTCCAGGGAAGAATCATCTCTCCGCCAACAAACATATATTGCTTGTGTTGCATATTACCATCCATAGCGACAATGACATCAGGATTCCTGGGGACAGAATTAGTACAAGGCCCGTTCTTGAAGCAGAGGTGCGTGGGACGAACTCGTTGACGGGACCACCCCATGTTGAGCCTCCGAAACATTGCGGGCATCTCGCACGGAGGTATGGGCTAGCCCTGTTGTGCGAGGGGTTTCGAAACAGCCTTGATCGAGCAAGGGTCAATGACACAGAGTCAGTTGTCGTTTCTGTGGAGGGCGGTATGTCATCATCACCGGATATCATGCTCTCGGATGTGGTGATCATGGGGTCCCCGTTATGCGCAGGTAGGTGACGGGTAAGCTCGTGGGGTGTGGAAATAGATAGCGGTGCATCGGACTCCACAGGGTCCGTGGGCAGAAGGAACTCTCTCTCCGTTTCAACCTCTGTCAAGTCGCGTAGGGCTTTAAACCACGTTATTGCTTCACTGAGCGAACCTAGAAAGGGATCCTATATGAATAGGAGACCGTGTGCATGTCAACTCCACCTAAATGATGACTAGGTATTACCTTGGCGGAGAATTCATAGCCATTCTCCTGCAATATCGTAAACAGGGCGGTATGAAAGGAGGTAATTGGTGTAGAGGAGTTCACATTTAAAGCTGAGAATAGCGAAAGAATGTCGAAATGGAAGGCGATTTGAGGCATTACCGGTGACCCAGGGAAGTAGCCACACTGAATGATCCCAAGCGGGAGGGTATTGGATGGACATTTGCAATATTCGAATGTACGCCGCACAGCATCTACACCGAGGTCAATGGGACATGGTGAACGAGGTCAAGATGCAAACATACTCGTGAACGCAATCGTCATTACAGAATGAAACCGGAGAGGCGTGTTGCAACGAGAGCACAGGGCCATCGCAAGTGTATGCAGTTGTCCGTTCTGTTCGAACGACGTTTCGTCGGGGGCAGCAAGGGGCACGCGTTCTGCCTTCTTTGCCTCCAGATCTAAATATATTTCCACTGCCTTATATATTACATCCTGGCGCCAATGGAGCCACGCGGCATTCTTTTGTGGATTTCGCACTGCCCTCTTGGCTCGTTTTCGGGAGGGCGATGGTATGGTAGGTGACGGGGTATCCGGGTTAGGAGCGGCATCCGCGATATTTCCCCCCCAACCCTGAGGGGATGCCTCCCGCATTGAGGACTCTTCTTTTGGACTGAAGGTTGGAGTGGGTGAAGGGGCACCACCCATTTCTACCAGCGCGTTTCCCACATGATCATAGCGATTAGGCACCTGCCAACCATAACTAGATTCGATCCCCGGCCCCCAGCGTTGCGTGAGCACCGTCCCGCTAGGAGTCGCTATTTCAACCCTCCGGGACAGCTCAAGGACAGACTGTCCAGTGGCTGAAGCGTGTTTACTCCGTTTTCTCTTTGACGACGAGGATTCAGGGTACAGCACGGGCGGTGGATCAAGATATTCGGCATATTTAGGTTTTGGGGCATTAGATGGTCGGGGCTTCTTAAGAGGCGAAGTGGTGAGAGGAGGGATTCTAGCTTTATGTCTAGGCATGAGGTCTAACTGCTGGGGAAAGCTACCGGGTGCAGTTCAGTGGCACAGAATGACTTAAAGGTGCAGTCCAATTGCGCAGTTCATTTCGGAAATCGGTTTGGTGGGGTGGGGGGACGACGCAATCAGCTGTATGTTCACGTGCATGTAGCTGCGACACATACCGACAGGAACGGACACGAAACGAGGCGGTTCAAGGAAGCCTCACCGGCAACGGGACGTACCGCTGCTCACGTCGTTTTGGATCGATCAGCACCGACGGAGGGGTTGCGTGATACTCAGACAAGCAATGTGGACACAAGCCACAATACGAATCGGATAGGGGTAGGCGTGCAAAACGGAATGCAGGACCGCCACCGGCTGAGATCGTTTACGCTCGTTCTATGGAAAGAACGACGTACAGGGCTTTTATCTCTATTTTTGGAATGCCCGGCTACAGGCGGCGTCGGCGTACGGGCAGGCAGCAGGCTGGGCGTGGATGCGGAATGCGATGAACCGTTAAGCTCAAGGACGTCAATGAGGCGCCACAAAATGTGTATGGTTGTTGAGGGTATTATGCAGGATCGAGGTAAGGCCCGCCTTCGTAACGTGCAGGGGAACGACTGCGTAGCACCAGCAGTGCAGGGAGATCTGCGAAGAGACTCTTCCCTTGTGCAGGATATATTTAAACGTCTAGAGCGAGGGTCGTTTCACACAGACGGTGTGTTGAAGGGGGGAATCGATGTACTGAAGCGGGGAATCGATGTGCTGAAGCGAGGAATCGGTGTGCTGAAGCGAGGGATCGGTGTGCTGAAGGGGTTGCTTTAACCGCGATACACCAGCGACGCACTGAACGTCTCTGGTCGTCTCTAGTTAAATACAGAAGGGAAACTTCTTAAGAAATATCCGGGGGGCGGTTGGGCGGAAGTTATGAGATGCGGGGTTGCGTGAACAGTTTTCAAAGACAAGCGCCTGCGGTCAAGGGAGTCGCCACCAGAGATGCGACGGCAGTGGGAAACGATGAGGGAGCCTGCGTGTAGTATCCTAGAGCGTTGTGGAAGGAGAGCGAGGGCATTGCATGGGTCAGGCATGGCTGTAAACGACAAATTTTGCGCTCACCGAATATGCCAACTATCGCAATAAGTAGAGTATCGAGTCACAACCTGTGAACAAAGGTCTGTCTGTACCATATCAAACGGTGACATCGGAGGCTGAACGCGTCGATAGACGCGCGCATCACGTACGAAGGTTCCCAGGCGGTAAAGTAGACGAGAAGCACCGGCATTAGCCGAGTACTCGATTTGGGGGACATCTATACCCCAGAGTTGAATGGTTCTCACGGGGGATAAGAGGGCTCAATCGAGTCAATACGTAGTGGTGCTAAAAACATCGGGGGAGCGTAGTAAACGTAAGTGAAGTTTTTTGTATTTCGTTATCGGCCCTAATAATCCATCGCTGACAGAAGAGTACTTGAATATTTGTTGTCTTGTTTTGGCAGTGGTTAACTTAGGACAAGTACTGTCGTGTGGCTCTCCTCTCTGCCCACAACATCCTCCGCGATTGCTGATACACGATGTCCGATCGATTGAAGTTTTTCAAAAGCAAAAGGGGACACTCTCCTGCGCCTCCCGGTGGCCCATCGCGACCCTCGGCCTCTGTTCCCAGCCCCCAGGATACTGCTTTCCCTGCTGAAAACGATACAACAACCCGCAGAGATCATGGCGGATCTGATGGTTTCCATCTTAAGCCTCCTACTGCTGCTGTGTCAGCTGGTGGTAGTTCTCGAGATCCGAAGCAGCGGAGGCCCTTCCCGCACGTTATATCTAAGCTATTCAGCAGAAAGCCCAATCCCGATCCCACTCATATCGACCAATCGACGTCCTTCGACCCCAGACAATCTGACCCCTCTGTACCCGATCCACCATCCCCTAATCTATCACCATCTACCGTTCTCCCTGAGGGGATCATCTATATCCCTGACACGATACCCAGCGAGCGCATCATCAATGGCAACAATGAGAGCTCTCACCCACAATCAGGCGTGAACTTAGATACCCCATTGTTAACAAATTTAACACAGTCATCTTCAGCCGTTCCCGCCAGGGACAGGAAGAAAACCATCATCGCCACCACAAGGCACGTCCTCCAAACCGCCGCCTCTGCTCTTAAGTTAGCCCCCATTCCAAATCTTGACCAAATACCAACCATACTCCTGTCATGGCTCCAAGTTTACGAGGTTCGCAAGGGCGTCGTGATTTCGCGATCTAATGAGATAACCTCACGTTTTCATGCAGGCCATCGACAACAATGACGAAAATCTCAAGGGACTAGACGATGAAGTTCGAAACGCTCACGAAACGATCTTTAGGCCCCTCCAGTTGTGGACTGGCCAAGTTCCTCCCGAAATAGGTGATCTGATTCAACGATTTAACTTGTATGTACATTCACTCCATCGTTCTCTCGCCCAAATCTCAACTCCCAGTCTCCACAGAGCTCTAAAGCAACAATTGAAGCAAATTGAAGCACTAAAACGTCAAAAGCTTTCCAAGAGGGTAGTCTTAGCGACCGAGATAACCCAGGAAATAAGCGCTGTGACGTCCTGTATCCGTGATGCTATCTCCCGCTTTGCGGTTCGTTTCGTTGGTGTCCAGACTGTCCGATGACTGATTTGGGTATACCCCATAGACTGCTGCGACAACTCTGAATCTCCTCCACATAATTCAATCATCGGTGGACCGTTCGTTGATTGTTTCCTTATTTCACTGCTTGGAATTTAATGATATTCCAGGCGAACTCTCAAAACTATACAAAGCAAATGCGGAATACTTTGCGGTGAAAAGCAAGTCGAAATGCCTGGAAAACACCCGTGTCCGGATTCAGGAATCGATACTCGACCATTTGGAGAAACGGGAACACCGATTTATCTGGCTTCGTGGCTCTCCGGGCACCGGGAAGACTGCTATATCGATGAGTGTCGCCTCAACACTTGCCAAACAACGTCGCTTGGCAGCGTCTTTTTTCTGGGACAAGAACCAAAATGGAACAGGACTTGATTCGATTGAGCACTTTCCTTCTACTCTTGCACGCCAACTTGCCTCGTTTAACACCGAGTACGAGGGTCTTCTTGCCAATCAGCTTCGACAGCCCTCTTCACTGGAGAACGTTCCAGGCTCTACTGTGGAGAAGCAGATGAGAGCTTGGATCGTCGAACCCATGCACAAACTCTTATCTCTGCGCGAGGAGCGTTCCGTCATCATCTTGGATGGACTGGATGAGTGTGGGGCTCAGGAGGAACTTGAGTCCTTAATGAAGTTGGTACTTATCCTTGATGAGCTGCCGAGTGCATTCTCTGTGTTGGTCAGCTGCCGGCCAGAGTCATCCGTCGAGTCGGCTTGGGTTGGAGCTCGGGCTCAGGGTCATGTCATCCCATGTGAGGATGTGGACATTGTCACTGAGGAAGAAAAGTCTCAAACTATCCACCGCATGGTGGAGGAAGGCCTTCGGGCTTCCATCGATAAGTCTTCCTGGAAACCGTCAAAAAAAGATGTCGATGCATTTGTCTTAGCGTGTCGTGGATTGCCCATTATTGCCTCAATCCGAGTCCGGGATGTCTCTGTTCGAACCCGTCGTGGAGCAACCCTTCGATCTGAGTTTGAATACTTCCGTGACCTCATCGATGCCCCCATTGACGTCAACTCAGAGTACTTGCGCATACTTCGCCGTGCCTATATGTTCGACTCATCTGGAGTCCCTCCACATATAGCTGAGAAGTATCGCCAACTGGTTGGCACAATCATTGTGGCATTTGAGCCACTGAGTGTGTTTTCCATGTCGCAGCTATTAGGAATTGCAGAGGAAGAAGTCTTAGCCATATTGGAACCAGTTAGCTCCATTGTTGATTTTTCTGAAGAAAGTGGCTTGGAACATCCCCCGAAAAGACCCTTAGAGGACCCAAAGCCAAAGGGTGTCAAATTCTATCATGCAACGATGGTAGAGTTCATAAAGGGGGATTCGATTGGTAATGAAAATGACAAAGTATTCTTTATCAAGAATGTGAATAAGTATTTCCTCGGACTACCACTCCTCCGATTTTTCAATAATAGTTGTGAGGGGGATGTGTTTGGGGAGCCTGCCATTCTCCCTCTAGGAGATAAACGAAAATGGAGCGGTTTTATGGAGAGACAACGTCATCTCCCTCATCGTCTCCGATATGCTCGTCAACGTTTATTAGGACACTTAAACCCCTCACAACTCTTCGCACAAGAGTCCAATTTGCAGAACGAGTTTAATACATTCCTCACACGAAACTTGGTTACATTTATGCACCTGGCGTCAGACATTAATGAATTATACGAGGGATTCCCTGAGGGATTTGATGAATTTGAGGTAAATAAAATCATTGTGATGCGATTATTTTAATATGATGTCATTTTTAACAGGATCATGATTCATTCAAACTTTTGAAAGAAGCTCGAGAAAAGCAATCAGTGGAGTATTCGTCTTTGAAGGATTTGGGATATAGTGTAACTTCCTGGTCACCATGGCACCTTCATCGATCGACCCTTCCTTTCACCCCATCCTCATCACCTTTGTACAAACTGCATGGCCACCTCTCTGATCCTGTCCGCATCTTCACCATTTCCGGCGAGTTTTCCGGGCACAGAATCCCATTGAGTGAGGATCTACTCCATGCTCGAATGGTCATGGAGGCGAAGCTACCTGATTCGTCAGAGGAGGCTGATAGTTGGGGTGTTGAGATTGATTATGATGCCCAATTCAACGACCCTGATGTTCGTAATGGTATTGTGACATGTGCAGCACTCTCCCTCGATGGTCATCATATAGCTCTCGGTTTTGGTAGTGGTGTCATCGAGCTTGCCGATATCGACCATCAGTGCACGATTTCCCGATTCCAGCTCGATCCACCCAACCATCCAGTCTGGATTGAATTTGTCCACGGCAGCCACCGGGTTGCTGCTGAGGACAATGAAGGGAACGTCACCATCCTTAGCCATGATACGACCCCCATTAATCTTGGGACTCTTCCCAATGGTCCTCTTCCTGCTGTAACTCGAGTATCAGACAATGGATTATTCATCATACGGGTTCCACGGGACACTGATAACTCTTGGTACGACAACATGACTCTCGTATCCATTTTGGGCGACCCACACATGCAGCTCCTTGCTTCTCCTCCCGAGTCCGACTCTCTTGCCATTATTCACCGCCACAAGCCTGCTATTCCTCATCGTCGCACGCTTGGATTTTCTCCGGGAGCACGTTTTATCGGCGCTTTTGATGGGCTCAGTGCTTTCACCTGGTCGACAGATTTGGGTGAGCTCATTGCGCGTTATTGTGTGACGGATTTCAAATTTTGGATTATGAATCCCGCTGTTCCCCTTGCCTGCTCTTACCACATCCCTGATCCTGTATCTCCTCAACCTACCCTTTCCTCGGGAAAACATGGAGTGACAGATAGCCATCAAAGTTCCAAAACAGATGCGGTGGATAACTTGGATGAGTCCTGGATCAAGTGTCCATTTTATGTTATCTCACAAAGCACGAAGGAGGAGAAGGAGGAGGGGTTGCGGCGGGAGTCTGACATCCGTTCATTCGCTGCAGGACGAACCCCACTGTTCGGAACCGGTATAAAACGCACTGGGCTACCAATGTTCTTCAATGGAAAATTAGAATTCGTTATTCCCAAGGAGTATCGACCAGTTGTTTCTTCTCATGCCAAAGGTCTAGGCGCTTGGTATGGTGATCGAGTGCCGTCTGATCCTATCTTTCTGTACAGCCCTCGGTCCAGCCAAGATGGGACTCGAATTCTCTTCCAAGGCTGGCAGACAGCTCCAATTGTTGTTGATCTTAGCCAAGTCATTTAGGATGTCCGTAGTCAATTGCGTATTTACCTTGCGCGCTCGTTCTACCCACTATCAGGGGGGGGGCAATCTACGACCATTCCTACCTTGTACTGTCATTTAGTCCTGGGTCAGACAAAATTAGTGTTGCGACCACAGAGATTTTTTGATTTTGCTCTTTTTATAGTTCCTCAATTCACTTTCACTCCGTATCGACTGAGTCAAATTTTCCGTTATCACTTCTTTGAACGCACTAAAAATCGATATTTCCTTTCCTAGTTCTATCGTTTCACCCAGCGTTCATCCTCAGCTGCACATAAGTAACGTAACAAAAAGACCGACGTAGTATAAGTGCTAGATATGTGTCCGTGCGAGCGTTTAGTGAAGATCCTCACTAATATTCACGAGATATGGAGCCAAAAGTGGAGGTCTTTGCATCGCGTTAAATAACGCCAACGTATAGGCGACCCTGTCCCGACTTAGCCCATGAATTTATGAGGCTCGAAGAGTACCTCGTTCCACATCCCAGCCTGATTGCGCCGAAACCTGTGGCCAGCGAAAGTTGGAAACCCAAAAGAGAACCTCCCACCCACGGTAGCGGTGTGGTTCTCGACGACCTCATTCCAGAATCAGGCTTATTGTGTTGATCCTCAACGCACCAGCATCAGCCCGGCGTGGCTGTTGATCCATGTGCTCCTTGCCCTCGCAGCCTCGGCTGACACATCTGCACGCTCCAGACATCAGGTGGCCTGGGCCCAATATCAGGGCACTTTTAGTTCTTAACAACATACTCGCACATCATCGTGCAATGACTCTAAAGGGAAACCATCCCACGGGGGGCGCAGGCAGGTCCACCCAATTGTTCCAACCTATGCCTATGATGGTAGTTGTGAAAGTACTTATACCCGAATATCCGTAAGTGATGACTCACCAGTTTACATGGGGTTCGCTACGAGAGGGCGAGCAACCCTAGCCTATTGTTAATTTCTACGTCCGCTGAAGCTTGCATATTGTGAGGGTAAGGGACAGAGAATGTTGCCAGCATTTTGTTGAGGAATCCCCGGGGTTCGGGATTGGCTCAGTCTGACTTACTAGGCTAAAGCAGCCTCGGCAGTAACAATAAAACGATCAATTAGTATCATCTGCTGTACAATGAATACTTATTAATGTTTATTACCGTCTGCAGTGTGCATGAAGGCTCAAAGCGAGGGGTGCGTGTCTGTGTTGAACCATTGCTTCCGGGGCGCTCCCCGTTCCGGTTGAAGTCCATCTCGAACCCTCACATCCCGACTTTTATATTACGGTGGCGCACATATGTTCGGCCAACGTTCCCTTAGAGCATCGGGGCCTTTCTCGTCATGTTCCCTATTAAAAGGCTTGTTCAGAGTTCTGTCTGTTCCTCCGTTTTGCAACGTGCATCAACTATCATCCCTTCTGGTCGTCTCGTCTTGCCACCCGAGTTCTCGTCCTTTGAGATACTTTTTTTTTGGTTTGCTGTGTTTTGGTTCTCCCCTGCCACATTTCATGGTTACCAACCCTATGATGGTCCGCTTTGGTGCCTCAGGCCTCACCGCAACCTAAACCTAGCTCACGAAGGATTTTCTCCACAAGTATGGAATGATTGCTCTATGGCAGCGAAAAATATATCTCTGTTTGCGTGGCACGGTTACGAGGTTGCTTTTGGATCCTACGAGTTCCTGCCAACTTCGTTCAGAATTTCGATGGATGATTTACGATTCCCTGGGCACTATGCTTCTCATGGGACTCAAGGGCTCCGAAGAGTACAAGCGCGTGGTGGAGCATGTTGCGAAGCAGACTTTCAGACGTCTGAATCGTCATTGCGAATTACGATGACCTAGTTTATCTCTTTTGACTCTGAACGGCGAAATCCCTTTCTTGAGACAATTATTCTCTACCCAGGCGGATTGCTGTCTGCCTATTGATCGTCCGGAAACTCGGCACTCTTGGAGGAGGCCAACAAGGTGTCGCTGACCAACTTATCACTGACAATGGGACTCCTTGCGGGAATTGCCACATGCGCGATGGAATCAGAGTGCATCAAACTGCTCGAATGAGACAAAATCTACAGGAAACGCAGACGAAGGATGAGTTGTGGAGTATATCTTATGGGGTGGGGAGTGGTAGCTTGGTTGTAGGTCTGTTACGCGCGCCTTTAGGTTCAACTGATTTTGGAGACAAATGCCGTGATCTGCACTTAGTTTACATGGCGGTATGGCAGATAGTGCTGTAAGTTACAAGCTCATCTCATTGTGGAGTACATATCTGCTAAAAGGCTGCCTCCTCTCTGGCGAGTCCGAAAAGCAACGTCCGGACATGTGTAGGGCTTCTGTTGTTCATAACCCTTCGTAAAAAGCCCTTAAGATCTCAAATGGGTTGAAGGCGTTATCCTTTCCTCCATCCGACCCATGATCTCCTCTAGCTCTACATCGCCTCCATGGAAGCGGGATGCCTGCGCTACCAATTTGATCGAACGCCTCGCGTGCCTTTGCACCTGCCTCCCTGCGCTCGGCATGGAGACACCTGGCTCGGAGCTCGTGCAAGAACAGTCAGGCCTGGGCTGCTGAAGGACTGAAGACTTCATGCTACCTAGTATAACGCCAAGGCAGAACGTGGTTGGGATGCAGTTTACAGAGGCAGTAAAGGAGTGGCAGAAGAGTGAACGTTCCGGGGGTGTTTTACTGGGTGTGAATGGCGCAGTGAGAACTATGGCTCCAGCGTCCAAGGATGATTATATAGGTAGTGTAGGAATAGCCGAGCTCGAGGAGGAGGTCTTGGCGACATTAGGCCCAATCAACTCGCTTGTTGATTTTCCCCAACAAGCCACTCGGAAAGTTCCTCGGGAATTCTTTCAGTGAACGCGAAGGGCGCCACATTCTACCATGCAACGATGACGCAACGATGAAGGGCGTTCATAACAAGGGATCCAATTAGCAGTGAAAACGACAGTGTTCTTTTCAAGATGTAGATGTGAAGGGATATTTCCTTGAACTGCCGCTCCCTCCATTTCTCGACAATGATGAGCTGGATTGCCCACCACTCCCGTTGAATGGAAATGGAAGAAATGCCTCCCTTGTGCGAAATTGGGCGACAATGCTCTTGGCTCGGTTCATACCCGTCCAGTCAATGTGAGTGAAAACCATTGATATCGCGTATTTTGACAATGTGATGTCAGAATTACAATTCATTCAAGCTACCCAAGGAAAACCGTGCAACAACCCCAATCCGCGATCGGAACAGTCATCTTCCTTACTACAAACATATTACTCTATCCTCATCACCATATTCTGGCGAATTTTCTGGACACACAATTCCGTTGAGTGAGACTTTACTCAAAGCGCGAACGGTCAAAGTTGCCAAAGAAGGTTGTGCGCAGGAGACCAATTACGAAGCCCAATTCAACCAACGGCATTGTGACATGTGCAGCATAGTATTTTCCCCTGATGAAGTTCTTATCTCACCCTCGATTCTAGTAACGGTATCATCGAGCTCACCAACGTTGACCATGAGTGCACTATTCCCTGGTTCTACCCAACCACCCTAGATTGGTTTTGTCCATAGCAGCTGCCGTATCTCAACGGCCCCTTTCCTGCTGGAAAATTGATGTCACACGCTTTGGTACGACAACATGACGCTCATACTGACGACCCGCACGTTCAGCCCCTTCCGACCCTTCCGCTCCATCCTTCCACCCGAATCCTTTGCTAACCATTCCCCGTCGCGCGCTTGGGCCTCCTGCTGGAGCGCGGCACTTCGGCGCCCCCGATGGAGCCAGCGCTTTCACTTAGCCGACGGAGCCAGGCGAGTTCATTAGTTAAGGATGTCAGTTCTTGGACGAATCCCACAGTCTCATCACATCTCATCCCACTTTTCCGAACCGGATGCACGACTCAATTGCATCCCATTTTACGGCCTCCCACCAAGCGCGCACGAAGACCTTAGCGTCTATTCGTTTGTTGCAGGGAGAACCCCATTGATCTGGGTGGGAAACATGAGCGAGGGACCAATGTGGTTTGACGGAACAGAGTCTACTGTCTCCAGGTGGTACCCACCGGAGGGTGGGTCGCGTAGGAGCCCCATATGGTGATCGAGTGCCGTTTGATGCTGCGAATCACGAAGTCTCTATCACCTCCGGTCCAGCAAGGATAGGACTCGGTTTCTGCTTCAAGGCCGGATGACGGCTCCTATTGTTGTCGAAATTAGCAAGTCGCCACTCCCTCGTCCCCACCTGTCAGTCACCCAGCTCGAGCGTCTTTCCGCCGCTGCATTACATGTTGTCCCCCGACTTGCACATGACTGCGCTTGACATTTTTTAATATTAAAAGTTAACAGTGGAGGGGAACAACACGAGTCCTCCAGCTCTGAAGTCGAACGGCGAAGCACCACCACCCCGAACAAGGATGTGGAAGCAATAGCATAACTCGTATCTATCCACATCAAGATTTCTTTGCACAGATTAGTTAAACCAAGCATCCTCCTGGCATAGGTTGCTGCACTCATGGAATCACCGTCCGACATCCACCTATGCTCATTGAGAAACATTGCTCCCATGAGACTGGCAGAAATATGAACTGAGAATGCTGTGAGCACAAGGAGCCGCATTCCGAACAGATTATCTTCGTTCGGCATGAAGATCTGCACTTGAAAATTTTTGAGCAGAACAGGCCCTCCGTCGTTGTCAGACTGTTTATTTGACCCCCTTCAAATGCCTTTTACTTTGACGATGTTTGATGCTCTGGATAGATCCAGATAGCAATGTCAAACTTACTCCTCACCAGGTCGGAAGCAGAGTGGGTTGGCGGAAAGAAGAGGAGACAAATCACTTTTTGGGATGCTTTCGAGTTGGTGGCTCTGAGGAAGAAACGGGAGAGCTGGACGTTAGCGTGTTAAAGAGTGGCAACCCGATGGAGCTATGTTGGTGTGTCACGGGGAGGCACATGAGCAGAAGAAACAGAGGGAATCGATAAAGCACGATTTCTAGGCAGGGGAGGGACTGACAAGAAGTCCATTGTGGTGCGCTCGTGTGATTGCCATATGAGAGCACAGAGCCTGATCTAGGCCATCCTGTGCCGACGGGAATTCGTCATCACTCGAAGTATTAACATCCTCCACCCACCCATTCTTGAGGACAGTAGTGCCCAATATGCGTGGAAGACTAGACATTCCATCTTCAAGTAGAACGACAGCGAAATAGGATACTTCTGCTACTTGGGTGGAGGTGCGAAGTCGCCAATTAGAGCTAAAAGTGGACACTACAGAGAGGAGCCCAACAGGAATAGCCTTGAAGCGCGCGACGATTGAAATGTTTTGCGCATCAGCTCTATTAAAATATACTGGCTGGTAACCCAACAAACTAGTGGGTAATTGTTGCTGAAATTTCGTCCAGTTTATGTCGGTGTCACACAAAGCCATCTAGCCAGACACAGCCCACCGTCAATAGCTTGGATTCCTATACGAGGAGCTAGGAAACCATCCAGAGCTGTTCTGGTATGACTCGGAATCCAAGCGACCGAGTTGTTCGCTGTGGCAGGGAGCGGTGGTCCGAACCAAATAACCATCAACGACGGAGACCGTGCTAAAAAAGCCGCTTGCAAAAATACTCAAGGGAGCGCAGTAAATACAAGTGGGTTTTTTGGATTTCGTTATCGGCCCTAATACTTTTGGTAGCGTAGTTAACAATCTATCGCCGGCATAAAGGTACTTTGATACTTGTTGTCCTACTTTGGCAGTGGTCAGGACAGTACTGCTTTATATTTATATGTCGTGTGGTTGGGGCTGTTCAACTCTCCTCTCTGCCTGCAATACCCTCCGTGATTGCTGATACACAATGTCTCGTCGATTTAAGTTTTTCAAAAGCAAAAGGGGACACTCTCCTGCGCCTCCTGGTCCTGTTCCCAGCCTCAAGAACACATCTTCCCTGGCTGAAAACGATAGAACCACGCGCAGAGACCATGGTGGATCTGATGGATATTATCTTAAGCCTCCTACTGCTGCTGGGCGTTCTCCGAAGCAGCGGAGGCCTTTTCTGTCCGCTGTATCTAAGTTATTCAGCAGAAGCCCCAGTCCCAATCCTACTCATATCCACCAATCGAGGGCCTCTGATACTGTCCCCTCTACGCTCGATCTGCCATCCCCTAATCTATCACCATCTCCCCTCCCTCATACAATGTCCAGCGAACACGTCATCCATAGCAACACTGAGGCCCACTCACAACCAGGACGTACAGGTGTGGACTCAAATATTCCGTCGTCAATTGGTCAAACGTCGCCACCTTCGGACGTTCCTGCTAGTGACGGAAAGAAAACAATCATCGCCACCACAAGGCTCGTCCTCCAAACTGCTGCCTCTGCTCTTAAGTTCGTCCCTATTGCGAATCTCGATCAGATACCAAATATTCTCCTGACGTGGCTGCAAGTTTATGAGGTTCGTAGCTGGGAGTTGCGATTTTGCGATCTAATGATATGACCTTCATGTTTTCATGCAGACTATTGACAACAATGACGAAAATCTCAAGGGATTAGACGATGAAGTTCGAAACGCTCACGAAACGATCTTTAGGCCTCTCCAGTTGTGGACTGGCCAGGTTCCTCCTGAAATTCGCCAGCTAATTCAACAATTTAACTTGTATGCGCATTCACTTTTAATTTATCGCTCTCTCATCCAAATCTCACCTCCCGATGACAGGGCCCTAAGGCAGCAGTTGAGGCAAATCGAAGCACTCAAACGCCGAAAGCTTGCCAAGAGGGTAATCCTAGCGACTGAGATATCCCAGGAGATAAGCGCGGTGAAGTCCTGTATCAGTGATACTGTCTCCCGTTTCACGGTTTGTTTTGTCAGTGTTCAGATAGTCCGTTGACTGATTGGGGCATGCAACCATAGACCGCTGCGACAACTCTGAATCTCCTTCACACTATTCAGTCATCGGTGGACCGTTCGTTGTTGTTCCCTGATTTCACTGTTTGAAATTTAATGATATTCCAGGTGAACTCTCGAAACTCTACAAAGCAAAGGCTGAATACTTTGCGGTGAAAAGCAAATCGAAATGCCTGGAAAACACCCGTATCCGGATTCAGGCATCGATACTCGATCATTTGGAGGAACGGAAGCACCGATTTGTCTGGCTTCGTGGCTCTCCGGGTACTGGGAAAACTGCTATATCGATGAGCGTTGCCTCGGCTCTCAAAAAACAGGGTCGCTTGGCGGCATCTTTCTTCTGGGATAAAAATCGGAAGGGAGAAGGGCTTGCTTCAATTGAACACTTTCCCTCTACTCTTGCACGCCAGCTTGCCTTGTTTAACGCCGAGTACGAGGGCCTCCTTGTTAGTCAACTTCGACAGACCTCGGCACTGAAGGACCTCCCAGATTCTTCTCTGGAAGAGCAGATGGGATCTTTGATTGTCGATCTCACGCACAAACTCTTATCTTTGCGTGAGGAGCGTTCCATTATCGTCTTGGATGGACTGGACGAGTGTGGGGCTCAGGAGGAACTTGAGTCCTTAATGAAGCTAGTGCTTATCCTTGATGAGCTGCCAGCCACATTTGCCGTGTTGGTCAGCTGTCGGCCTGAGTCATCCGTTGTGTCGGCTTGGGCTGGAGCTCGGGCTCAGGGTCTTGTCATACCATGTGAGGATGTGGACATTGTTGCTGAGGAAGAAAAGTTCCACACTATCCACCGCATGGTGGAGGAAGGCCTTCGGGGTTGCATCGACAAGTCTTCCTGGAAACCGTCAAAAGAAGATGTCGATGCATTTGTCTCAGCGTGTCGTGGGTTGCCCATTATTGCCTCGATCCGAGTCCGGGATGTCTCCCTTCAAACTCATCGTGGTGCAACCCTTCGATCCGAGTTCAAATATTTTCGTGATCTGATCGATGCCCCTGTTGATGTCAACTTGGAGTACCTGCGTGTGCTTCGCCGTGCCTATATGGTTGGCTTATCTGGAGTCCGTAAACATATCGCGGAGAAGTATCGCCAAGTGGTTGCCACGATCAATGTGGCACTCGAGCCACTAAGTGTATTCTTTATATCACAGTTGTCAGGAATTGCCGAGGAAGAGGTCCTAGCCATATTGGATCCAATTCGCTCAATTGTCGATCTTTCTTCAGAAATTGGCTTGGAACATTCTTCGGAAAGTTCTCCAGAAAGTTCCTCAGAGGAACCGCAGGGCGTCAAATTCTATCATGCAACGATGAAAGAGTTTATAACGGGAGGTCCGATTGGTAATGAAAATGACAAAGTATTCTTTATCAGGGATGTGAATAAGTATTTCATTGGACTGCCACTCCTCCGATTTTTCAATAATAGTTGCGAGCAGGGTGTGTTTGGGGAGCCTTCCATTCTCCCTTTAGGAGATAAACGAAAATGGAGCGATTTTCTGAAGAGAGAACACCCTCATCATCTCCGATATGCTCGTGAACACTTATTAGAACACCTAGACCCCTCGCAACTCTTTGCACAAAAGTCCAATTTGCAGAACGAGTTTAATACATTCCTCACGCGAAACTTGGTTACATTTATGCACTTAGCACCATTGTATGAACAGAATCAGAGATTCCCCGATGGATTTGATAAATTCACCGTAAGTGAACTCATTTGTGCCACACTTATTTTAAATAATGTAATGTCACACAGAACAATGATTCATTCAAACTCTTGAGGGAAGCTCGAGAAAAGCAATCAGTGGAATATTCGCTCTGGGAGTCCGGCGTTTATGCGACTTCGTCAACACCATGGCACCTCCATCGATCAACCCTTCCTTTCACCCCGCCCTCATCACCTTTGTACAAACTGTACGGCCACCTCTCCGATCCCGTCCGGATTTTCACCATTTCCGGCGAGTTTTCCGGGTACGGAATCCCACTGAGTGAGGATTTACTCCATGCTCGAATGGTCATGGAGGCGAAGCTACCTAATTTTCCAAAGAAGGCTGACAGTCGTGATGAGTATGATGCTCAATTCAACGACCCTGATGTTCGTAATGGTATTGTGACATGTGCAGCACTCTCCCTCGATGGTCATCATATAGCTCTCGGTTTTGGTAGTGGTGTCATTGAGCTTGCTGATATCGATCATCAGTGCACGATTTCCCGATTCCAGCTCAATCCACCCAACCATCCAGTCTGGATCGAATTTGTCCATGGCACCCACCGTGTTGCTGCCGAGGACAATGAGGGGAACGTCACCATTCTGACCCACAATATGACCCCCGTGAATCTTGGTGCTCTCCCCAACAGTCCTGCTGCAACCCGAGTATCAGATAATGGATTATTCATCATACGGGTTCCACGAGACTCTTGGTACAACAACATGGCTCTCGTGTCCATTTTGGGTGACCCACACATGCAGCTCCTTGCTTCTCCCAGCTCCAACTTAGGTAACTTTGGGTTTGGTGTTCCCCATCGTCGCACGCTTGGGTTTTCTCCAGGAGCACGTTATATTGGCGCTTTCGATGACCTCCGCGCTTTCACCTGGTCGACAGACTCGGGTGAGCTCATTGCGCACTATCGTGTGACGGATCTCAAGTTTTGGATCATGAATCCTGCTTTTCCCCTCGCCTGCCCCCACCGCATCCCTGATCCTGTATTCACTCGACCTACCCTTCCGTTGACAGAAGGTGGCGCAGCAGATATACATCATTCCGAAACACGTAATTTGGACGAGTCCTGGATCAAGTGCCCATTTTATGTCCTCTTGCAAAGCGAGGAGGACACAAAGGAGGGGAACGTGCAGGAGGAAGAGATTTATTCATCCGCTGCTGGGAGAGTCCCACTGTTAGGGTCCCATGGAGGACGCAGGGGGCAACCAATGTTCTTCAATGGCGGTGTAGAATTCATTATTCCTGAGGAGTATCTACCAGGTGGTATTTCTGGTGCCAAAAGTCTAGGCGCTTGGTATGGTGATCAAGCGCCATTTGATTCTACCCGTCTGTACAGCCCTCGGTCCAGCAAAGATGGGACTCGAA